GTGTCAGCAGGAAGAGCACTCGTTATATCGTATCATTTAAAGGGAAACTATATCTTTCTCTCTCGCTATCTCTCTCATTGCATATGTTCGTATTCTCGCGAGCACGAGAGATAAAGGCTTCGTACGAGTTTGTCGAAATGACGCGTGCCTACTATTGCGTTTCTATTCTCCCGTTTCTTCATCTTCAGCACAACGCATGCGATATATCAAACCATTCGTTTTGAGATTGGAGCCCACAAACTACTACAATTGTGAAATCGATGAAAAGACCGTATAGAACGGCATATACAACGTCTCAAGTTGAAGCATTCAAGTTCGAGAGACGTCGAATCGTCACGCAAAGAGGTCAATCCCAGGCCAGAGCAGAGTAGTAGTGCCAGTTTCGTTAACTCGGCAGCGGCGGCAGTAGTAGTATAGAAGGGGGTCGAGGACGCAAGGAAGAAAATAGAGGCTGCTAAGGTGGGTGGTGGGAGAACGGGGGGCGAGTTGTAGAAGGGTTATGGCGAACGCGAGATAGCGCGGGAAAGCAATCAGAACTTGGGCCATTGCTGGATATTACGGAGACGTGAGAGATGTCTCCTCAATCATATTAATTGCCCGAGATAAGCGACCACCGTTGCTGCTTCGACGCTGCTGCTGCAGCTTGTCGAGAGAGATCAAGTCTCGAGAGCAACGCTCACGCAACCCGCCCACTGCTCTGCCTTGATGACTTTCGTATACCACCGCCATTCCCCTAATTCTCTTTCTCTCCGCTATCTCTGTATGTTTCTCCTTTTCCAGTGACGCGGCTCGCTTTTTCCACATCCGTCTGTCTCACCGTACATTTACTTTAACTACTCGTCGCAGTTTTTTTTGCTCATTGACAGACGGTACTGCGGTTATTGCATTTTAATTATGTAGAATTACATTTTTATGACACATGGTTATTTTGTTTTTATGAACAATTTAAATCCAAGACTGTATTTTTGTATATTAACAGAAGTAACTTACTTAGCAAAGAACGGTTTTTTTATTGATGGGTTCCACGTCAATTCAATATTTGCCACCTATATGCGAATATCTTATCTCAATTCGAGAGTATAATGTTTAATCATCGATAATCATCCAACTATTTATATTTCAAAAAACAGAATCAATTCTACACATTTCTATCAATTTTATAAAAAAATCGAAACGTATTTCGCGCAAGTTCTCGAATGAAAGCTATAGGCGTCGATAAAATCTTTCGATTGCGAAGACAACTAAACCACATAGACACACAGTCATTGAGAAGTTGAAGCTCGGTCTCTCAGTCTCTCCTCTTTCATTTTGCCATTCCCCGGGTATTCGCGCTTCGGCAATAGCCGAAGGATGAGAGAGAGAGAAAGAGAGAGAGAGAGAGAGAGGTGAGGGCGTGCATTGCGTGTGAAAAGTGGAGAGAAGGGCCATCACACTCAAAGCGGAACGTGACACCGGCTCGCGGCTCTTATCAGCCGTTTCGGCCCTCCCCTACCCACCACCCTCGCGCGCCAGCTACAGCGACCGATAATCTGAACATTCCTGCCTTCTTCCACGTCTGTGTCCTAGAGCTTCTCCTTCCCCCACTTCCCTGATTCAGCTATCGTCCACGTGCCCTTACCAATGAGAACTTTGCCATTAAAAACTTCGATCTTATACGTTGCGCTTCGATGGATATTTATATGAAAGCTTCACATGATCAATTGAATTCGCGAACATTATTCTAATACAGTGAGTCTATTCTTAAAAACTATCTGGTGTTTAACTATTTGACAAACATTTCACGTCAAAGTCGTATTCTGCTAACGTCATTCCAAGCCTCCCCCCGCTAAAACTCTGTTGTCCGGCACGTATACAGCCTGATGAGACTCCACTTCGAAGCTCTCTCTCTCTCTCTCTCTCTCTCTCTCTCTCTCTCGCCCTTTCCTCCAAGAAACAATAAGAGACGTTTAGATTGCACGTGTTCGAGCTGATGCTCGCTGCTATGGATCCAGGCGTTATCACTAGGTTTTCACTTTGTTTCTGTTTGGTAATTGGTATTGTTATTTGGTAACGAAACTCGTACGTTAACTTTCACACTCTTCAAACAGTTGATGGAAAATGTTACAACATAACGTTCAATTTTCTTTCCTTTTCTATATAAATTACAAATTCGATTGGTCTTCGTTTATGAATGGAATTAGTGTACATCTTCAATTTCAGACACGACGTTTCGAATATTAATTTGACCTAGCGATACAGTAAGAGTAAAATAAAATAACTTTCGTTGATGAAATTTCAACAGTAAATTTTATGCAATAAAATCGAGCCATACTTACAAACTTTTCATCAAACCACTTGCAAACTTGTGCATTGTAAGTAGGTACTATATCGAATTTTCAAATATTCTTTGATATATTATGAATTATGTATGTTATTTGCGTTACTCCGCTAAAATAATTATTTGCTACAAGTCGACCTAAAAAAGGCTGGAGCCAACAATAAATAAATATCGCGAAAATTTCAGCCGCGACACCATGCGTAAAAAAAAGAACATAATGCAGTTTGGACGGTATACTTTGAAATTGTAACTAGTTTTTATTACAATTAAAAAACCAACAGGAGCGCATCGCACGGAGTAGATAGCTTAATATTTGGCTAATATCTTGGTCGGCTAACATGTATAACCCACGTCAAACTAGCCGTGGCCTGGGCAGCAGATAAACGCGCGTGTATCTCGGGGCTCACGCCCGGGAGGTAAAGCTCTCTCTCTCTCTCTCTCTCTCTCTCTCTCTCTCTCTCCCGTCGAGTCACTACACACGTGCCGCACACGTGCAGATTACCACGGCTCCTCCATATATTCCCGATATATTCGCCGCCGCCACGCGCTTTCGCGTCTACGTCACGAGCTGCCCGTAAACTCTCTCACAAGCGCCTTTGTTAACGCGCCCTGGTGCACAAACCTCCTCCTCCTCCTCCTGCTGTGGCAAAAATCCTTTTCATCCCTCTATATGCCGTTCTCTGACAAATCCAGCTTGTTTTTTTCTTTTGTTTGGATATTTATAACGCTTGTCACTATATACAACTATTGGTAGCAGTACGAGGTCCGACTTCGTGTTCACCATTATTTTTTTCTTTTTTTTTTCGCTCAAGCGATTTATTTGATCTAGTTCTACGGAACTTGTTCACGTTTTTCATGTCTGTTTTTGTTGAAGTATGTGATATATCGAGAACTAATTTCTTGTTGATAAGGAACAATTTTAGTTATTATATGTTGTTAATTTCTTAAATCTATAGGTAAACGTCAAATAAATAAAATTTGTATAAAAAATGGTTGTCACCTTACTTATTATTAGAAAATGGAAGAACCTTAGTTGCGGGCTCGCCAGTCAAGAACGAAACAGATGCCGCCATCTAATATCATCACTTCGAACTGTGACGGCATAATTTGATTTTTATCTCCGATTTTTCGATAAAAATATTTCGATAAAAATATTTGACCTTAGATTAAATTACTTTTTTTAGTTAATTATATCATAGGCAAGTCTTTTTTTCTTTAACCGAGTTCGATTTTGGCAAGAATTTGAGCGCAACGAAAGTTGTCAAAGTCAACTAGAAATAAAAAATTTCTTTGTAAAACAAGAGCAATTTAAAAATCTGGATTAAGAAAATCGATGTTTTATAATTAAAGATCAATACCCCTTCGATATCTTTTCTCCCTCGTTTATTCACTTAATCGATTCTCTTTTTCAGTTCTGACAAGAAGACTCCTGCCGGCTTTCCTTGCTCGCGCCGCCGCGCACTTGTGCCCAAATTTCACGCACGTAAGCGGCCCGGCACGGGAGTTAGGAAACTTGGCTTATAACTCTTGCAAACGCTTGAATATGATTGCGATTAATGTACCTGTAGTTAACTTACGATGTAAACTTACGGGCATTACGAAGACATTGCCCTTTTCAATCTATTGAAAACCTTAGTAATTAGATATTAATTTCATTTGTTAAAAATACAAGCTAATGCAATTGAACGGTCTAATAAGAAAGAAACTACCTTTTCCATTATGCCTAATAATTTACGAAAGTAGTTTGCAAGATTTAGATGAGTTCCGAAGTCAAAGAAGAATAAGTTGAAGGATAAGACGTTGGCGCAAGGTGACATTCTTTCTGCGTGCGCGAGAAAAAGAAGAATTTTAGTTAGTCCTTGTCACAGTTTTCATTACTCCAAGAGAAAGAGAAAGAAAGAGAGAGAGAGAGAGAGAGAGAGACTGAGATAAGGCGAAAAGAGTGGCTGCTGTTCCTTAGAAGTGAAAAAAGAAAGGAGTTTAGCCCCTTTTCTTCGCGTGCACGCGTTAAAATTGAAAATTTCGCCGGCGGTACTTGCGACCTTATTTTTGCTCATTGCAAAGAACCACACGCCAATAAGTCCACGTCTTCCTTACTTAGTTCCTTTGGTTTGATTAGTCATTGCCAGCTTACTTTGAAATTTTTCTGTTCAAAGGACTTTGTCCCCGTTAGAGTGCAATATATAGACATCTTTAATGAAAAAGAGAACTTGAAGGACTAGAACAACACAAGATCAAATGTTTTAATCGTCAAATATAGAGAACCGTTTGATAATCGTTAATAAAATTCCGGTAAAAATAATAATTATGCTATAAAATAAAAAGTTATCCAATTATGGTGGCAAAAAAAATTTAGCTGGGAGCTATATGTGGTTGGAACAATTTAATAAATTCTATAATAACAATCTATTCAACGTTATATTTGTGTCCAAGTTTCGTACTAATTTTTCATAGTTTGAGACATACTTTTAGAGTATCAGTGCTTCTAATATTATAATAATCCATGTATATAGTGTAAAGATTTTTAACTTACTGACCGCTGCCGCAACCACATTAGAAAACGACACTAGAATAAAATGTAGAAGTTCAATAGAAAAATCTTTCCGATCGAATAACATCGATAAAACTGTATCAATGGATTTCAAAAGATTTTCCGATGAAAGATGGTAATCTATATTCTGAATTTAGTTTACAAAAATATCCTTAACTCATGCAGGGAGTTGAAAAAAATACATATATAAGTTTCGAGGAAGCCCGGGTATGTCATTTTAAAGTATATAGATACACTGTCGTCGCTACTTCTGAGCCTACTCGTGACTGTGACTATGAAGTAATACTGAATGAAATCTTGCGCAAAATCTGTGAATCAAGATTATTACTATCTCTATTTTTTTTTCTCTACAATAGCCTGGGTTTTTCCTAATCATGGTGGCACTTTACATCAGACGATAGGTGGCTTATTGAAGTTTCATATATGCCTGAAGCACATAAACAAGTAAATTAAATTATTGATGTTTTATAAAAATAGATTATTTTTGTTTGTAACAATCTTACCTGTTCTGCAATGGTCTTAAGCTGCCGTAACATAGCATTGTTTGTTTGTTGAATCATTTTAGAAAAATAACTGTCATTGTTTTGTAATAGTAAATATGGATGATCATATTCCATAACTCTACCGTTTTCCATTACTAAAATCTTGTCACTGTCCACTACCGTGTTGAGTCGATGAGCTATCGTTAACACTGTACACTTGTTGAATTTGTCTCTGATCGTTTTCTGGATAAGTGCATCCGTTGCTAAATCAATGGTAGCGGTAGCTTCATCCAAAATAAGAATCTTGTTCTGTTTGAGTATGGCACGTGCTAAGCAAACTAGCTGACGTTGTCCCAAACTCAAATTGCTACCTCCAAATTCTATCGGAAATTCTAATGTATTAAACATTTCTTTGAGTTCTACATCATCTAAGGCAGACCACAGTAAGGCATCCTTAAACTCATCAACAGGATCGAGATTTTTCCTTAGTGTTGCTTTAAACAAAAATGGCTCTTGTGGAATTATTGATATTTTCGATCGCAACGTCGGTAAATCAACATTCTTAACGTCAACACCATCGATAGAAAGCGAGCCTTCAATGTTAGCTGTGCGAAATATAGCTGATGTCAATGATGATTTTCCCGCACCTGTACGACCAACGATGCCTATCTGTAACAATTTCAATAATTATTTTCACATGAATAAGTCAATAGTAATAAAAAGGCATGCATTATTCAAAAAAGTGAAAATTACCTTTGATCCAGATGCGATAGTAAAACTGATATTCCAAAGAACTGGATCACTATCATCCAAATATCTTAAATAAAGTTTTTCAAATTTAATACCTCCTTTATTTGGCCACGACTTTGGCAATTTTTTCTCTAATTTGTTCGAAGTAAAATCTTCTTGTGGCAATTCTGTATACTGTAACATTCTTTCGATATTTGGCATATAAGCAAGAGATTGAACAAGCCTTATTAACATACTCGACAATTCTGTAGTCATATTCATAATTTGCATCAAAGTTAGTCCTACATATCCTTCAAAAGTGTCATCATTTTTCAGAATTATACAAACATATACAGTTGTGGTCAATAATCCAAGATTGGTTAATTCAGCCCATAGATAATTTGCCGGAATCAGAGCCCAAACGAGAAACTGCGCTGCCGTATGACGATCTTGACGAGAATCAAAATCTTTACTGACAATATCTTCAGCTTTGCATGCACGTATCGTTGTCAAACCAGCTAGCGATGATGCGATAAAAGACAAAACAGGACTTTTTGCTGTAAGATTTAAGCAAATTTGTCAATTTATTATCAACGGTTTTTATAATAATTCAACACTGATTTTACCATTTCCAACTAGTCTTGTTAGTTTCTGAACTGTTGCTACATACATTTTACCAATTAAAACAAATAAGAATATTAAAATGCTACTAGGTATGATGATCCACCAATTGACAATTACTACTGATAAAGTAAGTGCTGTTACCATGAAGAATGGTTGAATGACTTCAAATAAAACTTTAGGCAGAAGATCATCGGCTATGCGGGTATCATCTGAAAAGCGGTTCAAAATTCGACCTGTAAAATATGGAAAACTTAAATTTCATCATCGTATCTTGCAACAATATGCAACATCTATTCATATTCAATATATAAACTAAATTACATAAACTATATTATAATTTACCAGAAGGATTTGATTCAAAAAATCGTAGTGTTGTTCTTATTAAGTGTGAAAACATGTCATTGTGAATATTGTTACTGGCACACAGCATGAATATATTAGAGCCGATGTTAATTACAATCGATAGTATAACTATCACTAAAATGATACCTCCAAGTATTAATGGTATATTTTGGTCTGAATTCACAGAGTAGGTCGTAGCGTTATATTCTACTTTATTTAGTGAAGATGAGTTCCTTTCTTGAATCCTGTTTTAAAATGAAGAGTGAAATTTCGAATAGATTGTTTCTACTTAAAAACTTACCACTTTACAAGTCCATAATCGTAAAACATTACTGATAATACGAAAATACAAGTAAGAAAAACCATTAACAATAGTCGATAAATACCGCCAGCTTTGATATATCGCGAATAGACAGACATCTTGACAGTTCCTTTAGCAATCAATTCCTCTGTCTCTAATGGTTCATTATTAATTTTTGAAGAATTGATTATTGTATTGGATACATCGGTCTTTAATTTTAATATATCTAAACCTTGATCTAAATTATCAGTTTGATCAGATGGTAAATGTTTGAGATATAAGTCGTTTCGTCTAAAATTTTCTATATTTCCCCTGAATTCAATAGTACCCTACATGCAATGAATAGAATTTTAAATGAATAACGTTTTTTTTTCTGTGGTTGTCTACAAAATAAAATTATATACGAAATATTCTCCCTTTGTAAAATGTTAGACCATTACAAACATAGGGTGCATGATATGTAGTTGTGATAAACTTACGGAATTCAAAAAAATAATGTCATCAACTTCCGTCAAAAGCTCCATATTATGAGTGATAATGAGTCTAGTTTTATGCTCAAGTAGCTTATGAATACACTCGTCCATTAATTTTTTTGCAACGCGTGTATCTACCGCGGATAAAGGATTATCAAATAGATAAATATCCGCATCTCTATAAACTGCTCTAAATTTATCACGTGAATATATGGAAAATATGAGTATTAAAAGAGTCAATTATAGATATGAAGTTGCGAACTATTACCTCGCCAAGTTAACTCTAGCGCATTGGCCGCCACTTAGATTCATGCCTTTGTCGCCAACCATAGTCTTGTCAGCGTAAGGCAAATGAGCAAAATCCTCTAAAAGAGCGCAGGCACTAACGACGTTGTCATATCTTTTTTCATCGTATTCTTCTCCAAACAATATATTGTCTCTTATAGAACCAGGAAATAACCACGGTTCTTGACTTGCATACGATAGTTTACCATTTACAAACACTCTACCAGATGTCAATCGAAGTTCTCCCAAAATTAACTTTAGTAATAAACTCTGAAGAAATCGTGGATTAAGTTTGTTTAACCAGTAGTAAATATAAATATTTATGAAAATATCGACCTACTTTGCCAGATCCAACTGCACCAACAATGGCATACAAATTTTTTGGAGCAAAATTTAAATTAATATTTTCCAAGATATGTGATTGATCGTCCAAAGAAACAGTTACATTTTTTATCGATATAATCTCATCAGTATTGTCATATTTTATTTTTTCAACGTTTAAATCCACTTCTTGCATCAATAAAAAGTCCTGAAACCCTCGTACATGTTAACGCGTAAAGGGTCAAAATGGCATAAACGCGACACCGGTCTTTGAGGCCGTCTAACTTATGCTATTCACGACTGAAAAAATTGACAGGCACATGTTTTTGAATTTTGAGACTTGCCCTTTTTGATGGTAAATACGAAATTAATCTAAAAAATTATTAATTATAAAAAAAAACAGTTTAAAAAAAAGCATGATTTCTTCGATCCTTTTTTTTTTTGAAAGCAAGCTCTGAAAGGCTTCCCAGACTGTCAATGGCCTAAAACATTTTTAATCGGTAGAATAAATATCTGAACTTAAAAAAAATGTGATTTAGAAATTAATTTATCACTTTGGTCTTTACAAAATGGTGCTCGCATTACAAAATTTTCACTGATCATTCATGAATTTTTTCGCCTGAAAATATGAATAAATCGAGAAAATTACTCAGAATAAAAAATTCTTAAAATCATACAAAGATTACATCTGAACTTTTTGAAAACTCTTCGAGCACATTTTTGATTTTGCAAATAGCACAATTTTTGCAAAATTACAAAATTGCTTAAAATACTACCAAAAAATATATGTGTATTTTTTAACCTATTTTAAGAACTTTTTATTCTTGTTAATTTTAGATATAAGTCCATTGCTTTCAAGGAAAAAATTCTCAAAGATCAAAGTAGTATAACACATGACAATAAGCTAATTTGATCTTTGAGAATTTTTTTCTTGAAAGCAATGGACTTATATCTAAAATTAACAAGAATAAAAAGTTCTTAAAATTGGTAAAAAAAATACACACAGTTTTTCGAGATGTTTTCAGTAATTTTTTAATTTTGCTAAAATTATACTACTTTTAAAATAAAAAATTTACTCGAAGAGTTTTGAAAAAATTTAGACGTATTTTTGGAGTGATTTTAAGAACTTTAAGTTGAGATATTTATTCCGTCGTTTAAAAATGTTCTAAGTCATTAATATACTAGAAAGTCGTTCAGAACCTATTTTCAAAACAAAGATTGAAGAAATCGTGCTTTTTCTTTTAAACTGACTTTTATAATTAATAATTTTTTAGATCAATTTCGTATTGACCATCGGAAAGGGCAAGTCTTACGATTCAAAAAATCGGACGACCTCAAATACCGGTGTCTCGTTTACGCCACTTTGGCCTTTACAGGTTAAGAACTAAATAAAACTTAGCAGTCAATCAATCAATAAATCAAATGTAATATTGTACTTCAATTCGCTTCATTGAAACACGTAGATCAGCTATGCGCCTTAAAGCCAAAAAAAGTAAACTGGTAATACTGTCTCTTAAATTGTTAAAATGCTGGGCGATGGGTAGAATTTGTCTAGCAGTTATGATGCTGTGCTGACCCAAGCAAATCAAAATGATTACAAAAACGCAGAGTCGATGGCAAAAATGAGCAGTTGCGCCTACTATTGACGTAAGATATGCTATCTTGAGATAGCTTCCAATCTCGAGTCTGAAACGTAAATTTGAAATTAATACACTTAGATGAAAATTGTTATTCAATGAGCTGTATGACAAACCCTCGAGCTATCCGAACGCGATCTTCAAAATAATTCTCCCAAACATACATCTTTATTGCTCGAATGCCACTAACAATTTCGCTGATCAGTAATAAACGTTTGTCGGTTCTCAGAGTTTGTTTTGTTCGAAATATTAAAAATATCTTATTATAAAGTGCTGAAATGAACAGAATCGTAAAATTTGAATTTGGTTTGTCGTGGAACTTTTCTCGTTCTTTATTTACAAACCTAAAACGGGCATTGTTAAAAATATCATTAGTGCAACGCTCAGAAGTGTAGAATTGAGGTCGACGTATTGCCAAATTAAATAGGTTGTAGCAACCACTTGAATAGGCACGATAATCATATAAGGTGAGAAAGTGAAGAAAGTATCAAACTTTGACACGTCGGTAGTAAGTAAACTTATCACCGAGCTATTATGACTTTTACTAGCTGATACTGACATTCGTACCATCTGTAATATGTAACTTATGTAAATGAGAGTTTAGAGTACAATAGTACAAAGTATTGAAATAGTATTGAATACAAAGGAATTACCTTCTTATAAATCAGTGAAGTGTGAGCTATTCTAGCTCGCATACCAAGTCGAGTAAGATGGAAAAAACCATGTCTAGATAGTAGTGACCGCAATACCATGAGAAAAATGAATGCAGTTGCATTAAGGTAAGCCTGCATCTGAGTCATAGTTGAAGTTGGATGAAAGTAAGACATCATTAATTCTAACAAACAAGGTTCTATTGTCCTATTTATAGAGCATACAAATGTAATTTTGATACTTCAGATTATCGATAGACGAGTCGTGATTACATGCGATAATAAAGACAGACTCAGTTTATTTATTGATTTAAGATGAAAAGAAAACATACATAATGATAGTGGAGCCCAATATAAACAAGGACAGTTTAAGAAATTCTCTGAAATATGTTCTTATGAAAGCTTTCCACAAGCTTGGTTTCCTCTTTTTTATGCAAGCGGTATTTTTCTCATTTTGCCAGGCTCTATCAATTCAAATTGTAATGTTATGGAATAATTAAATAATGTTCAAAACAACTTAACTTACATTTCCAAACATTTTCGTAAAATTTCACTACGATCTTCAGAAATAGTGTCATAAAGATCATTGGCTACGAGATCTTGGTTTCTACCATAACGAATCAGATCTGTAAGCCACCTAAACATATAATAATATAAATTAAAATATGTAAAATAATACAGGACGTAGTTTTATTAGAAGTTGCCAAACTACAATACAAGGTTAATTATGTAGGAAAAGCTGACATTAATAGTAGAATAGGAATATTAAAATTTTAGATTGCATATGCAGATAACGAACATTCAAATCAATTCCATTCCAAACATTTAAAACGACTTCAAATAGTCGATATGAATAAATACTATTATCCAATTCTGACCTAATAAATATATATTGTAATTGATCCTCGAATGAACTCAAAATTATAAAATATCTACGATATAAAAACTAAATTAAGCTGGTTTATTGTTATAATATAAGAAATGATGCTTTACACAAATTAAAAAGGTAATAAAATAGCAGAACTCACCAAAAAAAAGTTTTATTAATCCACCTAGCACTGATCAAAGGGTTCGGATTAACGTGATTTTTATTTTTTACACCCATGGCAGTATATTAATTTCAACAATAATATGGTGGTAGCTGATTAACTTCAACATAAATATATAAGAGATATAATTTTCATGAAGTTGACACCGTCCATAGTGTCAAAAAAATGATAACACGCAAAAACATATTGGGGATCAGTATTGAGTTACTAAGAACACCCACTACTCTTGATGCTTTATGTCTACTGTTTGGAATAACCCAGAGAAATGATGTTTGCGTTTATGTTAGTCGCGTCGACTTTAATAACTTATATTTGTTCGAATCATGTGAGTTAACCATTAGATAAGATTTTATATCGCATCGATCAAATATAATCCTCTGCTGTTTGTCGTTAAGTGAAGTAATTTAACCAAGATAACAAATATAATTTTGACCTCTTTTCTAAGCAATCAAAACTTTTTCAAAGTAGTTGTATATCCAAATTTCGATCTAAAGTTCATTTTATCTCATTTCATGAGAGATGCTTTCACTCCTTAGGAATCCAGTAACATTAACCATTATAATCAAAAAGGAAATTATTTGTTTAGTGATATATTCAGAATTTTAAAACATTAATTTTATACATATCTTCTGACATAATCTGTGTTTTTTTTATCATTTTAGTTTTTCAACTTCAAATCTATAATCAATGTATATTAGTAATAAATGGATTTAACTGAAACTTTGAGTGTAACTAGACAAAGACTTCAGATGACTAAAACATTATCGAATTTCATCAACGATTTATTTATTTACATGTTCAAATAAACAAATCCTTGATGTATGAGTAAAAATACCAATCTTTTCAATACTTTAAGAATAAAACAATATTTTTATTTTTTTTAAATGCAATTTTTTCATTGGTCTAAGTTATTGACGCACAAACTATTTTAAAAGTTCTTTATTTAAACGAAGAAAAATAACGATTTATGATATAACTTTAATAATGCATATTAAAATCATTTACAATTTATTATATAATTTCACAAACAGGGTATAAATACCAATATATAACCTAATAAGTATTATTATATAATCCAAAGATTAAATTAAAAACAGTATTATTCTAAGTATAATTCCAGTTTAATATCAATTCTATTAATTATAAATATTTATTAGACAGCCGCTACAATATCAATGATATCTTGAAATATTACCAATGTGGCACAATTATTTAGTTATCGTTCATAGTTAAAAATAAATGAACATCGAGTATCTTGATAAAAAAGTTTATTTAATACTACTACAACGTATGTTTATTACGTATCAAACCATTTAAACATTTTATAATTCTAGAATCGTTTAAGGATATTAGTTAACTCTAATTTTCTCCATGCCTGAAGTATACAATTATGGAATTGATGGATGCGCAAGGCAAATAAAAATAGAAAAACCAATTTACAAAGACGCATATTATGTGCTTTGTAATAATAGAGAGTAATTGAATCAGGGTGTCGCCTGTTTAGACCGAAGTAAACTGAAAATGTAACTATCATTTTTCTACGTTTGTAAAATTAAATGATCGTATATAATTACGCGACCATTATTTAGGACTAAAATCTTATCACTATTTGTAACTGCTATAGGATTGCGAGTTTATTACAACTTCTTCAATTTAATTCTTACTGTTTTCTGAATAAGAAATCAAAATTGGTATTTACTTCACCAAGAACAAAGATTTTATTTTTCTTGACGATTGCACGAATCTAAAAAAGAAGTCGACATTCTGACGTTACTTGTTCTAATGTACCCAATTTAATAAGATCACAATCGTATGATTCCAATTCCTCTGTTGGCCTTCTGCAAATCTGGCTTTCGATTTTTTGAAAGATCATTGATCACTCCTCTTTCTATGTTCTGAAATCATATTAAGAATGACCAATTTATTACATTATATAAAATAAAAATGTACCAGCTTATATTTATAATTTGTATTTACCGATACGAAATGACATCCCTCAAACACTCAAATATGTAATAACAATACAATTCAATAAAAAAATGATGATCAACACGACTTAATATTAGGATACATTATTTTTATTAATTTGGTATTTATACTGTTATGTTTTGACTAAATCAAATAATGAAATATATTCATTATAATCTGTATTCACCTGTGTATATAATACTTTTACTTGCAATTAAAATTAATAGCACGATACATACATTTTTTTAAATCTACTAAAAAAAGTTCTGTCATACTGTTAGCTTTCAACAATGAGTACAATTTATCGGTAATTACACCATTTTTAGTCATTACTCTATTTTTTCAGCTGTTTTATTTTTCAAATTCTAATCAAGCGTTTATATATTTCAACTCGACTTTTTTAAAGATTCATATTTTCAAAAATTCATTAATTGTATTTTTTATTGTCCAATGAATTTAAAAATTACGAAAAAATTAATAAAACAGTAATATAAATACATTGCAACAAACTTACAGATCATGTTTTGAACTATAAATATTTGAATATTACGATAAAGCGTAATTACTTAAAGCAATCAATAAACTTTTACTTTTCAATTAGTTAGCAGTTAATTAATGTTTTAGATACATATTTTATAGAACATTTTTGAAGAAACCTACGATAAATAAGACAACATTAAAAAAATTAAATTATTAATTACGTGTAATTATTTATTGATCGCACTAATTTCTAGTAATCGGTTTGAGTTGAAAGAAATTATATTGTTATTCTGTACAATGTATTTATTTCAAAAAATAAATCTACAAATAGTGAGGAGCTTATAAAGAGTGACTTAAAATACAAAATATATTTAGTCTTAAATTATTAGCCAAAATTATTCTGCAAAAAATCTTGTGTTTTGCCATTTTCTTGCAAACTTCTTCATGCATGCACTTTTTCAAACACACTGCATTCTGAACATACATAGACAATGTCATTAATACATGAATACAAAATATAACATTAGATAAAATATTTTCTTCTAAATAAGCAACTTTATCATGTATCGCAGTGCTTTAATAAATTTATAACTTTTCTAGTGGTTTTAAAAAGTTTCACCGACGATGATAAGCCTACAATAGATGATAAATGTATTTTATTTCTAATTATAACGAATGAGGAAAATAAGTAACTTAAAATATAAACTACCTGCTCAGCCATAGTTATAAGATGTTGCATCATAGCATTACCAGTTTCTTCAATCATTTTAAAGAGATATCCATAATTATTTTGCAAGAGTAAGTACGGATGGTCATATTCCACCACTCGACCATTATCTAGAACTAAAATCATGTCACTGTCCATCACCGTGTTAAGTCGATGTGCCATTGTTATAACGGTGCATTCTTTGAATTTTGTACGAATCATTTTTTGAATCAAAGCATCTGTCATTGAATCAACGTTTGCGGTCGCTTCATCCAATATAAGAATCTTATTTTTCTTGATAAGCGTACGAGCCAAGCAAAGTAATTGACGTTGTCCTAAACTCAAATTACTTCCACCATGACCTATGAAGTAGTCTAAAGAATCAAATATTTGTTTAAGATTAACATCTTCTAGCGCAGACCATAAAACAGCATCGTCAAATTCATTGAAAGGATCAAGATTTTTCCTCAATGTGGCGCTAAAAATAGCTGACTCTTGTGGGATTATTGAAAGTTTTGATCTCAATTTTGGTAGATCAATTTTTTTAATATCAATGCCATCAATCAAAAGGGAACCCTCGATTTTTGCCAATCGGAATAATGCTGATATTAGTGATGATTTACCAGCTCCTGTACGACCCACTACTCCGATCTTAAAAAAAGAGAAGAAAACAGATAATTTTGTACGTATTTACAAAAGTTCGAATGGGTTACCTTCGATCCAGATTTTATAGTGAAATTTAGATCCCAAAGCACTGGATTGCCATCCGGTAAATATCGTAAGTATAATTGTTGAAATTTTATTTCACCTTTATCTGGCCATGAACTTGGCAATTTTAAATTAAGTTCTTCTTCGCGCAATTCCTCTTGCTCCAAATGGGTAAACTGTAACATCCTCTCTACACTAGTCATATTTGCAAAAGCCTCAGCAAATCTTTTTACTAAGAATGACATAATCATAGTCATATTAAAGATTTGCATCAAAGAGAGGCCAACGTATCCTTCAAAAGTTTTATCATTTTTTAAAATAACACAAATATACACAACTGAAGCCAATAACCCAAGGTTTATTAACTCAATCCATAGAGAAATTGCTGAAACTGAAGCTAAAGATAAGAATTGTGCTTCAGTGTGGTGATCTTGACGAGAATCAAAGTCACGACTAACGATGTCTTCAGCTTTACAAGCACGTATTGTTGTTAAGCCGGCGAGTGATGATGCAGTGAAAGCCAATACCGGACTTTTTGCTGTAAATATTTTATCAATAAATAAGTATTTTTGAAGATTCTTTGTAGTGCATTTACTTACCATTTCCTACGAGCCTTTTGATTTTCTGGATTGTCGTCACATATAATCGACTAAGCATAATAAAAATAAATATGGAAATGCTACCAGGAATGGCTATCCACCAATTCACTATTATTGCCGACAAAAGAAGTGCAATTGCCTGAAATACCGCTTGCATAGTTTCAAACAGAGCCAAAGGTAGAACATTGTCAGTAATACTTGTATCCTCCGAAAAACGATTCAAAATTCGATCTAGAAGTGTAAATTAATTGCCAAGCTCTATTTTTAATTATCAATAGAGAATCTGAAATTTATGAAGTACTACTCACCAGAAGGATTTAGTTCAAAAAATCGCAATGTAGTTTTCATTAATTGCGAAAACATACTGTTATGAATTTTGCTGCTAGCGTTCAACGCAAATCTATAGAATGATAAGTTTACTAGAAATGAAGTAGATATAACAAGTAATATCAAGCCTCCGAGGATCAATGTAGAATTTTCCTTAAATGATAATTCCAATTGTGAACCGTTTCCGAGAAATATAATGTTATCTTCAGTTTCATTTCTTTGAATTACATTCCTCTTTTGATTCCTAACGTTTAAATTATAGTATAAAGAAATAATTCAATTCAGAATAAAAATCTTTTTTAAATTACCATGCTGCAAGTCCTAAATCAAACATGGCCACTGATACCACGAAGAAACAATTGAACAGTATAATTAAAATGACGTAATAGAATCCACCAGCATTGATATATCTCGAATAAATTGACATCTCCATAGCTCCTTTAGCTATTAATTCTGCCGTTTCTTTTGATTCCTCTTTTTTATCATTTATGTCGAAAGACTCTGTTATTAAATTTGTATCAGGAAGTTGCAACTCCGACAAACTTTTCTCCGAAGTTGTTGTCGCATTCGATGGAAAACGTTGCAGGTGATGATATCTCTTTTGAAATTCTTCCATACTACCTTTAAACTCGACTTTTCCCTATCGCCAAAAGAAAATAATGATAAATTTTTAGTGACGGTAATGGTAGTAATAATAATTAAAAACTCATTTACAAGATCAAGAAGTATAATTTCATCAACGTCACTAAACTGTTGCAAATTGGGTGTAACAACAATCCTTGTGCTATTTTTTAGTAGTCCATTAATACATTCTTTCATTAATTTCTTTGCCACTCGCGAATCTACCGCTGACAAGGGATTATCTAATAAGTAAATATCTGCATTTCTATAAACTGCTCTGAATAACGAATGGAAAATTGTGTTACAAAGTTTAAATATTACTTGTTTAAATATCTTAGAGTTAGGATAATTTGTGGAAGTACCTTGCTAAATTAATTCTGGCACATTGGCCTCCACTAAGATTAATACCTCTTTCACCGACCCAGGTTTGATCACCACATGGTAATTGATCGAAATCTTCCAGAAGTGCACACGCTCTAACTACTTCATCATATCTTCTTTCATCGTATATCTCTCCAAATAATATGTTATCTCTTATTGATCCAGGGAAAAGCCAAGGTTCTTGACTCGCGTATGAAATTTTACCATACATTGACAGTGTTCCGGATATCAATGGGAGCTCCCCCAAAATTAATTTCAACAAAGAACTCTATTAGAAATACAATGTCGATAAACATAATTCAATGAAACCATAAAAATATCAGCTATCCAAACAATTTACCTTGCCAGACCCAATTGAGCCAACCACAGCGTATAAATGTTTTGGGGCAAAATTCAAATTAATATTTTCGATTACATGCCATTTTTCATCCCAAGATGCAGTCACGTTATCTATTAGTATAATTACGTCGCTACTCTCATCAGCAATTCTTTCTATGCTTGAGTTGACTTCTTGCAGCAACAAAAAATTCTGAAAATCCTGAACTAGGTAAACTACCTCGAAATTTCCAGTAATATAAACAAAAACAAATATTATACCTCTATTCGCTTCATGGAAACACGCATATCAGTTATATTCCTAACACCGTAGAAAAATAAAATAATAATACTTAGCCGAAGATTATAAAAGTGTTGAGTAACTGGCAGGACTGTATGAGTGGTTATTGTGTCATATTGTGACACGTATGTCAATATGACGGCAAAAACACAAAGTCGATGACAAAATGTAGTCAGCGACCATACTACCGATGTAAAATAGGATATTTTGGTAAAGCCCCGAATTTCAAGTCTAAAATGGTTACAATAGCTATTCAATTTTAATTATCCAAATAGACTGATGCATGAAAGATTAATTATATACCTTCTAGCCAGACGAACGAGTTCCACAAAATATTTTTCCCAAACGTACATCTTTACTGCTCGTATTCCATGAATTATTTCACTGATTAGAATAATTCGGTTGTCCGTTCTCGAAGTTTGCTTTGTACGAAGTTTAAAAGTTACCTTACTGTACAGAACTAAAAAATATATATTACTTTTCATTCTAAATATTATTTTACGTAACAACAGACCTTGAATTGGTAGGGACAGAAATATCATTAAAACAATCCCAATTAAAGCAGCATTAATGCCGACATATCGCCAAATTAGATAAGTCACAATCAACAACTGTATTGGTACAATAGGTATGTATGGTGTGAAGGCAAATAGAATCTCTAATCTGGCGACATCAACTGAAAGTAGACTAATTACTGAAATGCGAGTATTGCGACTAGACGATGATAATCGTATCATCTACAACAAATATAAATTTAATACAATACATAAATTATAAAACATTTAGTTAATGTCATTACCTTTTTGTAAATCAGTGAGCTACAAGCTATTCTAACATGCATACCAAGTCGATACAATTGAAATAAGCTATGGCTAAATAAAACTGTACGTAATATCGTTAAGACAACGAATAATGTTGCATTAAAATACGCCCATTGAGCAGTCATGGGTGACATCGAACGAAAATATGACATCATCACTTGTAGGAGTTCAGGTTGAACTATCCTAAAGATTTCATGAATACATGAAAATATATTTATAAATTAGATGATAATAAATAAAGACAGTTGCCTAACGTGATAATGCTGAACCCTGCAGGAAGAGTTGAGGATTTCATGAAATCCCACCAGTACGTTTTAATAATAACTTTCCACAAATTTGGCTTTCTTTCGTGTACACACGCATCATTTAATTCCTTTTTCCATGCTCTACAAATTCAATCATTTTTATCACCTCATAATCACCAAAAATTGAAGTACACAATCTTACTTTTCTAAATCATATCTGAGAGGTTCACTGAGATCTTCAGAGACGGTATCATAAAGATCGTCTGCGCCAAGATCGTACATTTTTCCATACCAAATGATGTCTTTGAGCCACCTGACCATTAAACATAAGAAAACATAAGAAAATGATGCCCGCTAATAAAATATAAGTTGCATTTATTCTTTTATTCCTATTATAATAAATCATATAAAAGTGAAAGAATAACTAATAACTTGCAAACATACCAGAAAAAAATTTTGTTGATAATACCAGCGCGTAATAATGGATTTGAATGAGCATTTTTTTTATTGTAAACAGCCATCGCTGTGTAGTCATTTCAACAATCAAATGATGTCAGTCTTGTTATAATTAGCAAGTAACATTTTTCATCATTTGTTTTAAATTTTCACTGTTGTAAATAAAGCAGTCAAAGATTAAGAATTACGTGGATCAATTTGATTACAAGTTCATATTATACTATCAATATAATCGGAAATTTTTTTAACTTACAAATCCTAACGACACCTCAGTTACGTAAATTTTACATATCAAAAGTTTAAGTAGTTAAATATCTGAAAAGAAAATATTTCATCAAGGTTAGAGTGGAAAATAAAGGAAAGTTTAAACACTGTATTTATTAAATCAAATTAACAATTATTATCTTCATTGTTTTCATAACCATCTGAATGATTAAAATCATTACAATTTTACACATAAGCATGTTACCGAATTATAATTTAGTTAAAGACTGGTAAAAAATAAAAATTTGTATCATGTACTTGTATTCGAATTCCTTTTACTTAATTGAAGTATTACTTGAAAAAATATTTGAGAAACAATCAATGACGTGAAGTAAAATGTTCGCTCGAAAGTTTGCAGATCAATAGTAAGCTATTATATAGACAATGGACATTGATTTTTCTTTTTTTATAAGTAGGTCGATCAACGATACCATTATTGAAATAAAAAGTGATTCGTCAATTCGCTGACAATTATCGAAAAAAATAAATATCTATAATAATTGTCTTCTATCGAAAGATATTAAACTGTTTGGATTTCATTCTTTAGAGAGTTTATAGCTTTTGTAGAAAAATAAAATAACACTCAAATCTCTTGTATCACATAGTAATTGGTTCAGATATTAATAATAAAATATAGCTGGAGCGAGTTTTTGAGCGAAATGCTATATGCAAGCGTATAAAGCACTAAGACAATACAGTGCATTAAACAATTATAAATGAACTGGATATGAGTAACCTTGACGCACCATTAATGTATGAAACTTTGTATGAAGCCTTTTGAAGTTTCAATTAATTTCTTGTAGTACATTCTTTTAAAGAAAATATATTAAGAGGTATTTAATTTTTTACTGGTTGATTATTATTTTAATTGTTTAATTTAGAATCAAATATTATTCACAGGAGTTATGCATTTCAGGAAATTCTTTAAACGAATTTTGATAAAACATCAAAATTTACTAAGATCTTAACAATATTATTGTAATTAGTTTAATAAACCGGCTACATTGAAATTCACTACAAGTAAGGTTCAGTGTCACATTTGTCGTAACAATCAATGTTATGCTATATAGTGGATTACTTTCAGAAGTTTACGAATATACACAGGTATATATAAATACATATGACAAACAAGTGTACTTACGTTTGCTGATTCATGGTCAGGATACGTACTAGGTTCTTGTTACCAATTAATGTTAATTTTTTAATCGGATTATTAATATATGTGTGTATGTAGGTGTGTGTCTATATGTGTGTGTATGTGTGTGCGTGCGCGAGCGTGTGCGTGCATGCGCGCGTATGTATTTTAATTAGTGGTTTACGGGGCCACTGAACTTTATTAACTGTTTATGTCGAAAAATTATTTTTTTTTAATTAATGAAAGTATTGTAATTCTCTTTTTGGTCCCGGTGTAAGATATTTATTTATTTTACATTTGATTAATTACAAACAAATGAAAAAGTAGTACCAGTCATTCAAGTGTCTATGTAATTATTATAAAATTATAATATTTTAAATGCTTGTTTAAAATATTTTTTTAAATTAGACGTCGCATCAGTTTTCATATCAATTTTTTATATTTAGTGTAATGTATTGCGCACTGACCAATTAGACTATATAAACTTACTACACAAGCACTTCCCAATCTATTTTCATCCAAGAATGAACTTGAAATCTCTTAACGTTATTACGTTTTTAATGTATTCAGCTACAATGAATATATAAGTAATAATTCGTCTTATCACAGATAATAAGTTCAGACCCACATACATAGTGGTAAAAAAATCCAACTGTTTTAGATATTTTTATGAAAAGAACACAGCACAACGCCGACATCAGTCATACTAACCACTGATATTGAACATGCAACCACCTCACTGCACTACTTTATAAACGTTGAATACTCGATTATCGAGCATTTTAAAATCCATACAAGTCTTATGCACTTGCAACGTCACAAGATGCGCGTGCATCCATAGTCGAATGCGCGTATTTACGACAATTGACATGAAAGTATGGGCGTTTTTCCGGAAAATTACATAAAATAAAAAAAAAGAGTCAATTAAAAAAATAACAATTCCAAACTTTTTAGATAATTTTAACTTTTAAAAATCCGGATTATAATTTTTGGAATCATTACCAGATGAACGAAATCTCGATTTATTTCCCCTAATTCGTATGCCAATATCGATCATAAAATATTATGATTTGAGGAATGTATAAATTTAATATAAGTACATTAACTTGAAATTTCATTTTTGATGATGTAGTACACAGTAAAAGGATAATCTAAGATAATAAACCATGTTACTAGGACTCAAAGTGAGTCATGGCCCACTTTGAGTCCACAGCCGTTTGATTCTCCTTTCAAGTCCAAGTGCATCATAATAAATTTCTCCATTCTGGAAATATGATCTTGAATAAACTACTTTTGCAATTTCTATATATACACAGTTTTTCTTTAAAATATTTTATTCAGACAGGTCATATAAACTTGTATAATTATTTATGAATACGTAGTTTGCTTAAGTACAATATCCATTAACCATGAAAAAATGCAGAGCAGAAAATTAATGAAAAATAATAATATTACGAACATAAATAATATACACGTACACTAAACATATTTACTTTATATAGTATAAATTAAACAAACTTATTTGTTATATCACAAACTTATGTAACTCATATTTGAAAGCTGAAATTCTTTTCAACAATAGACAAAGAAAGAAATAAGCGAATTATTTTATAGGAAAACCATATTCTTGTATTCACTGACATTATACGCATTGTGTATTGTGAAATAAAATTGTAATTATGCTATAGATAATGAAATACTACCTCACGATTATAACATTAGAGAAAACCGAAAATAATAAATGTGCTTGCAGAAAGTTAGTTATTCAAAACTCTGTTCACTGCTGAAAAAGAATCTGTTCCTCTCGATAATTCATACTATTATCAGTCATCGTCATCATATTAATCAATACTCATTCATGACCATTTTTAGGTTCTTCCTTGCTATTTAATTCCATCAATCCACAATGTATTCTAAAGTGCAGTCTCGATTCTAGCGAATATCCAGTGAAGTTTTTCCTGGTAAAAAAAAACATACGTAAAAATTATTAAAAGTATTTTTTTCTATAAAAATAAAGTGTAAACATTTTACACTGAAAACGTAAAATAAATTGATCATTTTCTTATTTTATTTATCTTTGGCACCAATAACAAAGCATTAGTTTAAGATTCGTTTTAATTAACGTGTTACTGAGTATAAAGTATATAAACGGTACAGAAAATTAACGCAAGAATAGTGCAGCACAAATTTGCTATTTCAACTTAGTTTCGTAACGACTCCGTGTATCAAGTGATTTGAATTAATCTCACACAAGAGCGCGTGATATAACAAAGAATTATCTGGCGCGTCAAGAACAGCCTCGTCATTGGCTTACCGGTTGATGCTTATTTGAGATACCTACTTTGCATTTTCTAACAGAGATATTGCTACTTGTGTATCTCCTTGATCTTTAGCTAACAATGCTAATTCAACAGTCGCAAATGGAAGTAGATAAGTGTCATCTCTGATCTGCTTTTCCATTTCTAAAACTTTCCTTAAACAATCTTGTGATTGTAAATTCAGCTTCAGTTGACGAAAACAAGCTCCTTTGAGAAGTAAAATTAAAGCTTCATTGTCGACTTGGAATTCGTTCTTACTAAAATTTGGAAAAATGCTATTATTTTGACGAAAAGAAATGACATTTGTAGATGGCGTGACTTACGGATTATTTTTCAAAAAGACCTCTTCTTCTTCAATGCATTTGAAGACGCTCAAGAGATCATTCTGAGATTTGCCGATTATCCTAAAGCAGTTCCACAAATACAAAAGCTCGTAGATGGGAAGGACTAGATATTTCTTTTGAGCGAAGTATCGCTCGGACTTCTTTATCAAAAACTTTTCCATGGGCAAGGATTTGCCAGCGATACGTTGCTTGTAGGTCGGCACTTGTGCCATTAGCTTATCAACGTTCATTTGCTCTTCGCTCTTTGACGAAGGCTTCATCATGAGCATTATAGCAGCCTGCTGATAGAAGTATATCGTACGCGACCAATTGGATTGTTTTGAGAGAAATTCGGCATATTTCAAAGCTGATTCCCACTGTCGTTGAACGCTATGAACCCACATCAGTTCCCAAAAACACAAATTATGAAATTCAGGCCGAAGATTCGGGCTTTCCCATGATTTCGTGTACCATTCGACGGACTCCTTAAAATTTCCTTTCATAAATTCTAATCTGCCTTTCAAAAATAAAAACCACGCTCCTTGTGGATAAACAGCTAATTGTTCATCCAATGCTTGGTCACACCATTTTAAATCGCCATCCGAATCGCTCATATTAGGTACTGTTACTGTGTTATAAAACAGCAAAGACATTGCACAAAGAATCTGACGTAGGCCTCCACGCTCTTCGTAACCAGCTAGAAGCTGGTTAAGACCATAATTCTGAAAAAGTAGAACCGATAATCAAAGATTGGCTTAGAATTTTTATAGCGTAGGATAATATGGTTACCTTATCTCCTGAAAACCCAACAAATTCGAGTAACTTAATAGTTCGCGTAGGCAACAGTGATATCATCTGAATAAAAAAATAAACGATTATGAAATCGAAATGTACACTACTCACAAAAATTAGGGATATAAAAAACATTCCAAATTTTGTGGTAATTTTCAACAAGAGATAACTCGGAGAGAAATGGTGGTACAGAAAAAAAGGAAATTGTAGTTTCACGTTTCTAGTTTTCAGATTTGAGCTATAAAATTTTTTAGTGTAAGCAATTTTCAAGTAATCATCGAAAAACGAACAAAAAAATTTTTTTTCTAAATTTTCTAAATTTTCTAAAAATGTCTTCTATCTGCCATTTTGATACTTTTTTAAGCAATTTAATCAGCTTTGATTTGCTTTTTTTAAATGGCACCGTTTGATGATTTAGCTGATACGATGTTGACTGAACAAAAGTTGAAATTTTACGAATTTAAGGATATTTAGACATTTTGATGTAACTTTAAATATAATGGATGAATAAAGGAAATCGACTGTAATTTTTTAACGGCAAAGTGTCCCCATAACCTTTAAAACAGTAAAAAAAATGCAAAAAAACTTTTGTCCAAAATAAAATTTTATTAAAAAAAATTTTTAATTCCAAAAAAATTCTAAAAAATTAAAAAAACTGTAGCTAAAAACAATAAAGAATTAATTAATGAAGCACTGTGTACATGCTGAGAAAAAAAGTTTTTTGAAAAATTTTTTTAATATTTTTTTTATGCATATTTTTCTTCGTAATTTTTGTCTTTGAATACGGAATTGACTTATTATTGCTAAAAAAAAATTTTTTAATTGAAAAATTGAATAAAAATCTAAAAAATTGCTTATTACGGTGATTTTTGTCAGAAACGTTAATTTTAACCCTTCAAAGTACTAAGAAAAAATCGCAGGACTCCGCAGTTTTGAAGGGTTTTGGGGACACTTTGTCATTAAAAAATTTCAGTCGACATCCTTCATTCATCCATTATATCCAAAGTTATATCAAAATGTTTAAATATCCTTAAATTTGTAAATTTTCATCTTTTATTCAGTCAACATCGTATCAGCTAAATCATCATACGGTGCCATTTAAAAAAGCAAATCAAAGCTAATTAAACTGTTTAAAAGAGTTTTAAAGTGGCCTAATATAAAACTTTTTAGCGTAAGTGATTTTATTTTACAGCTCAGATTTGTAAACTGGAAACGTGAAGCTGTGAATTCCTTTTTTTCTGTACCGCCATTTCTCTCCGAGTTATCCCTTGTTGAAAATTAACATAAAATTTGAAATGTTTTTTATGTCCCTTAATTTTTGAGAGTAGTGTATAACAATCATTAACAGTATTCAAAATTATATATACCAAATTAAATGTACCAACTCCCAATCGGACACCACTTTCAAAGTGCATTTTGTGTTCCTTACTTTCCCATTTCCTAGTTTCTAAAATTTGAAGGCAATCTCTGTAAGTAAAATACAAATTAAATTCAAATTAAAATTATCTAATATTTTAGAAAAACATTTACATTGAAAATATATTTCAATGAAAATGTAATTAACGATATTGCTAAGTAGCATTTTTTCAAATAATACAAAACTTACTTATACGAAAGAAAGCAATTGCGAATTCTAAAGCCAGCTTTAACAAAACTAACAAGCGTTTCATCTTCGATAATGCTTAGCATAGATTTGAAGAGCAACGCCTCTGTGTAACATAATTCGGCATGTACTTCTCCTGTAATATTAAAAATTAATTATTTTGTTGTACCGTGAAAGAAATCATAATACTTATTGAGTGTACTTTTGCTTGTAAAAGAGATACTTTTTTCAAGAACTAAAAAAATCATGATTACAAGTAAATATTTCTATAATAGTTTTTTTTAACAACATAAAGAATTAAAGATTTTTGATAGCAATTTATATACATTATGTACATATTATGCTAAATATTGTGCAACACTAAAATATGTCATTTTTATTTTTGAAAAGTGTTAAAATGATGATTGTGCATTTCAGTTTTTAATGAGCGTAACACTTTAAATGCTTTTAGCGCAGTGCGTGCACGCGATTCGTGATTCGTGATTTTCGAATGATTTCTCCATACCATAAGATGATGATAATTAACAATAAATCATAATGAATGAAAAAATTTCATTACCGATAGTGTAGAAGTCATAGTTGGGTCTTTTCACAATTTTGCCAATATTTTGTATAGCAGTAGTGTGTCGTCGACGTTTTGAGCATACAGCCATACATTGCTTCAAAGTTTTGGACGCTTTTTCTATGTATTTCTGCAAGCAACAAAGAAAATGTACGTCTGTAAATAAAAATTTAATGCTCACTAAATTTGAATCGAGTATCTATGGTTCTCACGAATTATTTTCCGTTGTTAATAGTGACCAGGAAAGCGTGACCAATTCGTACCTCGTTAATTTACAAAAAAAAAACAACACTACAAAATAAAATCAACAAATAAGTTTTATATAATCTTGCGAATAATAAATTTGCGTCGAGGTAACGAAAAACGCAAATTTTTAGAAATCATGATAAATTATACGACATCAACAGTACGTCATGAAATCTACTTTTTGTCCAGTATTAGTATGCAAGAGTAGCTAGTACTCAAGTTTGTATCAACGTAAACGACTTCTTCCTTCTAAATATAAAAAAATAATGTGAGCGATTGCTCGGCATATATTCTGAAAAGCCGTCGCATTAAATTTGCATTTTTGATGCAGCACAGCAGAACATTGTGGTTTACCTATATCGCATTCATTGCCTCGTGGTCGGTTAATCTACATGCGTTTTGTAAAACATACATTTAAGTATCGATTTCGTCAATTACTCAGAACAAGGTCACGATGAAAAAGAACGCGTAGCAACGATCTAGGAAATTAAAGTCACAAAAATAATGACTCGGAAGTTCCTATTGTATTTAAGTGATTTGATCATAGGCTGGTTTAATGCGAGATATAACGTTGAAAAGTACAATCGCGCCATAATGAAGTGCCCGGATGTTTGACCTGTATTTAACCGTTGACATTGAGATATCTTCAATGAAAGCGCGTAAACCACTTTAATTACTCTACTGCAAACAATCTAATTGTAAATGCTTTAGCCTGAGATGTTATGTCACAGTGAAACTTGGAAAAAAAAAACGGTTTTTTGAAATTACTAATACTCATTACCCGTTCGAAAGTGAGAACAGCATCCAGATATGCGAATACAGCAGTACCCAGCGAACAGTACATATCACAGTGTGCATACGGTTCAACTGTCTTCCTTGATTTTTCAAATTCATTACTGAAATAATAATAGATAGCCTGCTTTGCTATTGCTGTAGCCGTTTCGAAGTCCAAAGATGACGGCCTGCCAATACCAATAACATTACGTTAACTTCGGCTATGTAATTGAAAATGATAATTGTTGAGGCTTTACGCTTGTAATAATTTTTATCGACAAGGCTGTGGATGGATTGTAGAGGAATAATCTTAATAAATTCAAGCGATAAGATATAAATGGTAAAGCGTTACAAAATTAAATGTCTACGTATCACTGATGAATTAAGAAATTATAAAAAATCATAAAAATGGTTGCTGCGTACTCAATTTTTAATTCGTAAGCTCACAGTTCTGCACGTTAATATAATTTAAGGAAGAGTACTCACGGAGGTAGTTCTTCCTGCGCATCTTGGAACTAAAAACAAAAATAAAAATCAACATAACATTAATTTGTTGTACAGACTTGTAAATAGTCGGTCGATACACACAAGTTACTCGTCGCAAATAGTTATGTTATACGTACCTCATCGTCTGCTTCGTTATCAGACATTGTTGTGCTCGGGTCAGTAGAGCTGCAACAAAGAGGGAAAAAAATGATGCACTCTCGCGCAAAGAACAACGCACGCTCGGCCGATACACTTTTGAATTCGAAAGGCCGCGTTCCGAAAGGCACATTTCCTTTCGTATTGTATGTCACGAGCGACGCGAAATATCTATCGACAGACAATGCACTCGCGCTCCTTGACTTACTCAGTTCCAAATCGCAAGCCAGTGCACGTCCTATAAAAGGGAAATTTGGAGCTCGAGCGAGGATCGAAACGGCGGAGGTCTCCGGACACAGCGATGCATAGTACACGGTGCCGTGCGCGCTCGCGCGCGCGATGCGATGCCTCACTTCCTCGGCTCAACAACTGATCGTCGAAGTGTAACTCTCTCGCGTGCAGCCAAGCCGCTCTTTTTTTCCCTCTCTCCTATATACACTGCTTGATCTCTCCTTCGCGCTTTCTATCTCGCTCGCACTGATTAGGATCGCGCGCGCAATTTCGCTACGCGTGTGCCTCCTTTTCCTACGAGCTGCCGACGCTTATAACTGCACTCGAATTTATCAGTCTAAGTGTGACGAGTAAAAACCTGATAGCTTAAACTGCTTGACCTTGGTGATTACATGTACAAACGTAATGTTTCAGTCCCCTGTCTATTCTATTATTCTAGTTTGTTACTGATAATCCGCGACGTTTTTTTTTTCTCTTTGTGCAATGCGAAATACATCCACGTTACTGAATCTTGCGGTAGTTCAAAGAGGATTATTTGCAAGCCTCACCTGGGTTATAACAAGGTTTTACGCAGAGTGAGAGTTGAACATTTTCACAGATGAGTAGAAAGTCTTGGCAATCAGCTATACAAACTATGAGCATCGATTGTAGCTTAAAATAATATCTAATCGAGCACAAGCGAGCGAAATTCCGAAGCGCGAATCACGATTACAAAAGCTGATCGACACTTTACATATTAAGTACGAATTTTCGTTTTGGTTACTCGTTTGCGATAACAACAACGTTCAGTGTATCAGCGTATCCGTAAGGTATTCGTTTTATTGCGCTCGACTTGGGAGTATGTACGTTCCAACTGAAATGATTTCGTTATACGGAAACCTTATTGCTGCCGCGTTTCCATGCCTGTGTATAATCATACATCTACTGTCAGAGCTAGCTGCTTTACACATATATATACGTACAACGTAGAATAAAACCAGATGACCATCAGCTGGTCAAGTAACAGTGGCAAATTTATTAAAGATTTGAGTCACGCAACAAGTGACATTGAAAAGCCACTGCCAAATACTAAATTTCTTTAAAGTTTTATTTTTATGATTGAATTATATTTTGTATTCAACACTTTCAAGAAATCAGGAATGAAACTGTTCAAACTTGTTTTTTCTGATAAATCTTTGAATTGGTTAAATTTAATATATTGCAATGCTGGTTATTCGTACTAAAGTTTCTAAAGCTTATATTATTACTGATATTTAGTGCTTACAATGACATCACAAAAAAAAAAAAGAAAAGAAACTAGTTACGAAAAACTACTACTTTAGTGCATTTTCCTTGATCACTCTGCCAGCATGTCGACAAACATGATGAATGCACTTCAATAACCGATGCAATAAAAAAAAGTGGCGAGCAATAAAACACGGCTCATCGCCAAACTCGCGTCCAACTGATACGCCAGCCCGTGTGTATACGTCATTCGTATATCATCTTTGACCGCGAAGAGGTGAAGATGAACTGCGCGTACAGGCAATAAAAATAAAAAAAGCATGGTGCACTTGTCCTATCGATTCGCGTCATCTTTTTTTTCTCGCTCTTGCTTTGTGAAAAGTCCGCTGTTGTCCGTTCCGCGGACAGTTGTCGCGCCCGGTTTTGATGCGAACAAAACTCACGCCGGGAGGCAATAAATATCTCCGAGAGAGTAGCACTCGTAGGAATGGATGAAGAACGTTAGCTAGAGAGAGAGAGAGAAAGAGAGAGCAAAACCGCACTGACGGATACTGTACGGTGTGATGACTGGCTCCCTTTTATTTATTTTTTTTTTTTTTTGTTTCACTCTACTGTTGAAGTGTTGGAATATATGGGCGGTCGAGGGCCAAAACTTTTGAGAACAAAAAACATTATTCTTTTTTATTTTCTTTTTTCACGCGCGCATTTTGGAGATTAAAGCACTACTATTTCAAAAGTATTTTTTGGGAGTTCGACGTAGTTTGTTTGTAATTTTTTATTACGGGAAGCTTGTTTTATAATTATAAGCTGATTGGATAAGTAAAGTAAGAAATTTTACATTTGTATAATGTTCCAGGAGATGGATGAATTGCAATGTTCTAGCATTTCAGGAATATTCCTTAGACATTCTTTTACAATTACAAATGAGAAGAAACAAGTGTCAATGAATACATGATGTTCTTTTTTTTTTTTTAATTAGAGGTACGCAAATATGACTATACTCAGAAGATTCAAAATGAGCTATTTAATTTCAACATCCAACGTATATGTACGTAAATTCTATCTGAAAATTAATGAACCCAAATGAATTAAAAAAAAATCAATTCTGTATTTTTAATTTCGAAACTGTTGAAAAAATCAAACAAAAAGAGACCGTAAGAACAAAAAATTGCAAGAGAGAGTACACAGAAAGAGAGTGAGAAAAGTTGGGAAGAGAAGAGAGAATAGAGCATGAGAGTAGGAGGCAAACACATGTCCACGTCACCGGCATCGCTCCGAAATCGCGCGAGGGATCCCAAAATTTATGTCGACCAGTGAATCACGTCAACATTTGATTTGTCGATGGCTTTTATGGCGGCAAGTTATTGCGGACGTTATGTACAAATTCGGCGTGATGGCCACCCGACAACAGCAACAACAGCGACGAGAAAAATATGGACGCAAAAAAAAAATAATAAAAAGAATGCATCGTGGATTCGTAAATGAAACAGAAATTCAAGAATTCTGCAATGGAATTGTCAAATGCCAAACATATTTTACTGTATTTTTTTATTATTTCTCGTCAATGATACTATACATTTCAATTGGAATGTATTAAAAAATCGTTTCTGTAACAATGTCATTCTAATTATGGATATGTTTGGAACTGCTTTAAAAATTGTCAGTAGTCGAGTCTAGCGTATTTTTAAGTCACCACATCTCGTGCCTGATTGTCAAATTCTTCAAGAGGGTGTGTGAGCCGATCCTCCTGCTGGTAATAATTGAATAATTTTATGAACAGTTCAATGAATATGCTAATATTTTTGGAAAAATTGCGTATGAGATATAATCTACTAATGCATTTTTTAAACGTATAATTTGAAACCACTCCGCTTATTATAAATATACTCCTCGATATCTTTATCCAGCTATATCGTGAATTTCAAAATAGTGTTACTTTCAACTATGTTCACAATACTGATATGATATATATTTTTTCTAATAATATCTTGACATAAGATCAAGAATCAGGGAACATCTAATACAGATTGTATTAATTGTCTGAATTATCTAAAGCAGAAAGTTAAAAAATAAAACATTCAAGAAAATTAGGAGCACGACGGCCACTTGACGAAAAATGTAGACTTATACCCACATCGCACACGCGCACAACGCAGGAACTCTAGTTGTATATCGCAAACTGCGAGTGGCGCTTCAGCAATATATCAAGCCAGTACGACGAATATATCATTCATAATTTGTTCGCCGCGGAACGCACAGTTGATTTGTAGCCGTGTGGCGTCCCGCGCATCTCTTTTTTTTTCTTTCCTTTCTTTTTTATTTCAGCATGCGCGCAGATTGAAATCAATACCCGATAATGTCTGTAAATCAGCGTAACAGTGGCGCGACGTCGCCTACCAAAAGTGCCATTTTAAAGAGGGAGAATGCAGCTGCAAAGAGAGAGAAAGAGAGAGAAAATGGATTTTCGCGCGATCGATTGTTACGCCTGGAAAACTCGACTTGACTCCGCAGTCTCTCTTTGGCGTAACGCCAAAATTTCGGAGGCTCTCGATTTACACCTCGGCGCTTCAAACTGACACGTGAAGTGGGCAAAGAATAACGATCCCTTGGCCGGTTCGGCCCTCGGAGATACCAGCCCTGGCCGGCTTCCCGCCCCGAGAAAAAGACAGGCGGGTTGACCGCGTCAATTATGAAAGGCAAGTCGTTAATAAGGAAAGCGGCCCGTAAGGAGAGCTCCCACGAGCGGCATTACCATCTCTCATGCTTACCGCTTAACGGCTCGAAACTCCATGCGCGGCACATAGTAGTTGCTTGCTTACACTTTCTCTCCTGGCAACTCGGGTCGACCCCTTTTCTTTTGCATTATTGCATTAGACTCTCGAGAGACACGCTGCGGCGTGGTGTCGAGGACAAGGACTTTTCGTATCGTTGCCATCGCGTTATTTCAGGAGGAAAATCATTGCTACGTCACTCGAACGCAATGAATGATCAGTCGAGCGAAACTTAGAAATTCGGCGAACGCGATATCCGTAGAATTTACGGTACGAGCGCTTCGCCTCCTCTATCTTGGCTTCGGCGAATGACAAAACGTTTGTACGAGCTAATTCTCAAGGGGGAGGGGCACGAGTCGAAGACAAACGAACGGGCAAGTATAGCAAGGAGCGCCCCCCCCTCTCTCTCTCTTAGCGCGTTAAGATCGCAAATCCATAAACGCCATAAAGCAGCGATTTTGAGCTCGAGCGCAATTCCCGCGGTGGGTGCGCGCGATAGCGTGTGCCCATAGGCATGTCTCTCGCGAATCTTAGCCAGAGTTTTGCGGCACATACGGAGAGGGCTGAGAGTTTGCGAGAGGACGACGTAAATTTTGCAGAGCGGGTCGCAGTCGAACTCGCGCTTGATATGCCGTTGGGCCGTTATCGAGAGCGAGGTGACGTTCCCGGTTATCGGCTTGCAACTTCTGTGCAACGAGGCTACGTCGTCGTCGGACGGGAATCGGCACGTGGATCACGCGGACATCGGCGGCGATATAGCCGGCAACGCAGGCGCAACGGAACTGCAGTTTTCCGAGCTCGATTAGCGCGGGTCTCTAATTTAGCCTCGCCAGCGTCGCGGTCGCGCCGTAAGTCATATTTACCGCTGGTAGCGGCGGTGGCGGCGGCGGCCGACGGAGCTTTCTCCCTCTCGCCAAGCGAGCTGCGCGTTTCTGCTGAAATACGATGTCCCCGGGTAGCAAGCAAACCCAAGCCCTCTGCGCGCTCTCGTGCCATTCCCGCAAGTTGTAACTGCTGTTAATTATTGAGCTCGTGTATGCACGGCGCGGAGAGAAGAGCAACGACTTTGCCTCCCCCTACTGTACACCTCCTTTCGCTTGCGTGCGCGAATCATCGCGCTACAGGGCTTGCGATGCGTTGGCTACGGCGTTCGGCCAAGCTGTAGTGCATTCGACCATTTTCAAATAGCTGCACGATCATTAGCTGCAATTAAGCAATCGGACTTTTTACCTTGTTTACTTCGCGCACTCGTCGCCCGCTCTGCCGATACCAAACAGTTACGACGAATTTGCATACTGAACGCGACCGAAGCTGATGGCGTGATGGATGCGCTATTTATATGAACGAGTGGAAATACCGCTGTACAACTTGTTATCTGATAAATAGCAGTTGACCTCATTCGTTGCGAATCGTTCGCAACACGCACGCATTTAGCTAAGTTCCATAGAAGAATTGACTATCCTACAAATCTCACAGAAATAAAACCAAATTTCAAATTAGGACATTTTGCCGACTCAAAATAAGTCAACCATAATTACATCTCGGGTATTATTTAAAAAATATTAATTTCGATGTAGTTAATATTTTTGCTTGGTTTCGTCTCCTTTAGTATGTAGTAATCGTAATTTTCAATACAAAACAATTCAAATGCTACCCGCCGAAAAAGTACCACCAATAACCGTCGGTTGGTACTACTTGAAATCCCTTGACGAGCACCCCCACACATTAACGTTTTAAAAACATTTGACATTTTCAGAAAATCTATATTAGCAGCCGACAGAATACAATGCACTACCCCAATGAAGTAGACAACTTTTCTAACCTTCAAAAACAACAAAAAAAGGCCTTGAATCATTAAAAATCTGTCGGGTTCTAATGATATACCGCCTTTCCCTTTCCTTCGGTGCTTATGCTCATGTACTGACGTGTCCCACTCTCCCTGTAAAGTGTGTGTGTGAGAGAGAGAGAGAGAGAGAGAGAGAGAGAGAGAGAGAGAGAGAGAGAGAGAGAGAGAGAAAGAGATAAGCGTATGTACCTCTCGCTCGCGACGTGGCAGAGTATAGCCTGCCACAACACTGCGGGTCCTGCTTTTAATTTTTTGTATTCTGTTTAATCTCTGAGTGTCTCTCGGTAATAATTTGAATTTTATTTTTTTTAAAGTTCAAGCGTAGTATTTTGAGCTTGTTATGAATCTGCAACGTTGATAAAAACAGTGAGTATACCGTTGCTGTCTATCGGCCGAATGTGACGTTAACACATGTGATATTACTTACGTGCATATGACAGATTCTAACTGCAGCAATCTTTCGCACAAAGTTTTAACGAGATAAAGTGGGATAACGATTGGAAGTTGTGTATAAGAGATTGATTTGTTCAATAGAGAACTGCTGCATATAAGGCTATACTATTTTTCATACTACTACGTGAACCAGACTCTCTTGCGTTTAGTGGTTTTCAAAGTGGGTGAAAGTTCTAGCTGTGTGAAATGGTGATTTAAACTATCTAGTGATCTGAAAGTTTAGTGGATATTTATTTTTATTTGCAAGGTGTCATTAAAAATGCCTTATTTTTCATAATACGTTTTCAATTATTTTGAGTGTTATTACTGTTATGAATTTTTTAATTCGCGCAGGGTTTTTATTCGACGTCTGACAGATATTGTAACATTTGTTCTAAAAAAATAATACATGGCGAAAACTTTAAGAGGTTATACGTTTTGAAAATATAAAAATTATCAAGACTTTTTTATATAGTACTTATACGAATTAGTATTTTATGGATTTGAATCAAATTATGTCTTATTTTAAATAATTCATGATATCTCTTAGAAATCTCACTATAGCATAGGATACTTACCATATGTTTGAGAAATAATTTTACTTTTTTTTCCTTTATCAAGTATTCATTCAAAAGTGTTTGTATACACTAAATTATAACTGTTATTTACACAATTTCATTCAATAAAAATATTAGAAATAAACATTCATTAAAAAGAAAATTTTTTTCAAGAGTACATTTGGAAATTGTTGCAGATTGAAAATGAATCCACAATATATGCAGCAACAAGCTTCATTTTATGGAGCACAAACAAGTCCATCTTATAGAGAACCTAATGCAAATCTTCCACCAAACGGTGTCTCGTCAGGAAATAATGTGCCACCTACAAATATGCCACCATTTGGAAATAATGCACATCAATCATTACAACCAATTCAAAACAATCTTATAGATCAAATGTCAAATATATCTTTATCTGGTCCGCCAAAGGTACATTTAAATGTTATTATTTAAGTAACATTTGTTCTAAACTATCAACAAATCTTACAATTTTTATCTTTCACAATGCAGCCTGGTCCTCCTACACAAGCTCCTCCTCAGATGTTTGCATCACCTCAGAATGGAATAAGTAACCAAAATCACGTTCCACCAAATGGAGATCCTACAAGATCTGCTCAAGCACCACCACAGCAGAAGCCTCCATCAGTACAATCAAGTCTTCCATTTTCACAAACATCTTCCACTATACCTCAATTCCCAGGACAACAATATTCAGGACAGCCAGCAGATTCTATGTCAGGATTAAACATTCCAAGAAACACTCCAAACAATAATCATATGCCAGGAAAACAAAATAGTTCACTTATGCCAGGACAACAACCAAACCAGATACGAGGAATGCCAGTAGGTCAACCATCGCTAGGTGGACCACATGTATCTGGTCAAACTTCTTCTTTTTCATCAAATCAACAAAATTTATCGAGCCCACCAATGCCTGTGCAAAATTTCTCAAGTTCTCAGCCACCAACAAGTCAGCCAAATATGGAAAGACCATCACTACCTAGTCAACCTGGTCATCTCCCTCGAATTCCAGGACAGCAGCAATTTAATCAACCACCAGGTCCTCAACACTTATCTGGCCCTCCAATGGGAAATCAATCTAATTTATCAAGACCACCAATGCCAGGTCAACCAAATTTCCAGTCTTTGCCTCCATTTTCTAATCAGAGACCTGGACAGCAACCATACATGTCAGGTCCTCCATTACCAGGACAGCAAAATGGTCCTTATGGCATAAATCAAGGATATCCACCTCAACCTGGACAACCTGTAAGATATTTTATTTTTAACTCTGAGATGAAACTTTTAACTATCTATAATATATTTTGTTGTAGCCTATGTTTGAAAACCAGCCAACATATCCAGGTGGAATGCCATCAGGGCCTGGATCTTATCCAGCTGCTCAAGCTCAACAAGGGAAAAAACTTGATCCTGATCAGATGCCAAGTCCAGTAAGTTTTATAAAAGTTCAATACTAAATTCATATTTTGTAGATATAATATTCATAATTCATGATTTGTAGATTGCAGTATTCCAAGATGATCAAAAAATGAAAGGAGGTGATTTTATAACGAATCAAAAAGGATTGGTCCCTCCATTAGTTACCACCAAGTGTATTGTGCATGATCAAGGAAATGCATCCCCGCGATTCATAAGATCTACAATGTACAGTGTTCCTACAACTTCTGACATTATGAAGCATGTAAGTCTTTTAATTATGTAATCTTTTTCCTCTCACAAAAATGATTGTACTCCCTCTCATGTTTTTCTTATAATTACTTATTTGATCAAAATATCATTTCAAATTATTGAATGTTTAGACGCAAGTTCCATTTGCTTTAATATTATGCCCAATGGCTCAAGTTGAAGATAGTGAATATGAACCACCAATTGTTGACATGGGAGAAATTGGTCCAGTACGTTGCATTCGTTGCAAGGCGTACATGTGTCCATTTATGCAGTTTATTGATGCTGGCAGGAGATTCCAATGCATGTTTTGTAAAGCTACGACTGAAGGTAAAGATAAATTATAACATTGCATTACTGTAGCTCATATTTAATTTAATATTTACTTTTTCTAGTTCCAGCTGAGTACTTTCAACATTTAGACCACACTGGTCAGCGACTAGATCGTCACGAAAGACCAGAATTAGTGCTTGGAACATTTGAATTTATTGCCACAAAAGATTATTGTAGAGTGAGTGATCCCATGATAAGCGAATTAAATACGAAAAATTTCAAAAAGGCAAATATATAATGATTTATGTTTCAGGACAATATTCTTCCAAAACCTCCGGCACTTATTTTCGTTATTGACGTCTCGTACAACAATATCAAATCTGGCTTAGTCAATTTACTGTGTTCTGAAATAAAAAATATTCTAAAAAATTTACCAATCGATGCCGGACAACAAAAATCGAATATGAAAGTTGGTTTTATAACCTACAACAGCAGCATCCAGTTTTATAATTGTAAAGCCAATCTTGCTCAGCCACAAATGTTGTACGTTAGTGATGTACAAGACGTTTTTATGCCACTTCTAGAGGGTTTTTTGTGTGACCCAGAAGAAAGTGAATCAACCATTGATAGTTTAATGGGACAAATTCCAATCATGTTTGGAGATACTCGAGAAACAGAGACGATGCTTGGACCAGCAATTCAAGCTGGATTGGAAGCTCTTAAAGTAATACTCTAGGAAGATAATTCTTTCACAAAATATATTAACTATTTACTTGCTAAAAGTGTTTTAAAAAAACAATTTTATAGGCTGCTGAATGTGCCGGTAAACTTCTTATATTTCATTCGTCGTTACCAATCGGAGAAGCACCAGGAAAGCTCAAAAATCGTGATGATCGTAACGTACTTGGATCGGAAAAAGAGAAAAGTATTTTAGGTAAGTTAACTAAAACAAACATTGATCGTCACAGTTATTCAAAATTTTCAAAAATTTTATACAAAGTATATATTGTTTGTAGCCCCGCAGACCAATTTCTACAATACTTTAGGTCAAGATTGCGTAGGTGCTGGATGTAGCGTTGATTTATTCCTTTTCAATAACTCGTACATCGATGTTGCTACTATTGGTCAAATCAGCAGATTGACTGGTGGCGAGATATATAAATACACATATTTCCAAGTAAGTACACTACCTTTATTTTAGTTTGATAAAAATTGTGAAATCACATAAATTAATTCTTTAATTAATCTATTGTTAAGGCTGATATTGACGGCGAGAGACTGATTACAGATATAATCAATAACATAAGTAGACCAATTGCCTTTGATGCCGTGATGCGTGTTCGAACGTCGACCGGTGTGAGACCAACCGATTTTTACGGGCACTTGTACATGTCCAACACGACAGATATTGAATTAGCTAGTATAGACTGCGACAAAGCTATTGCTATCGAGGTCAAACACGATGATAAATTAACAGACGAAGAGGGTGTCTACATTCAAGCCGCTCTTCTTTACACGTCTTGCAGTGGTGTGAGACGATTGCGAATTATTAATTTGAGCTTGAAAACTTCTTCTATGATCACGGAATTGTACAAGTCTTGTGACTTGGACGCCATGATCAACTTCATGTTAAAACAGAGTAAGTAATTATCTTATCCTAGGTTACAAAAACTTCGTAACAGAATTGCTGGATAAATGTCTGTGTTTCTTCGTTCTCATAGGTGTAAGCAAATTAGTAGAGTACTCGCCAAAGCAGATAAAAGATGGGCTCAATACTAGAGCTGCCGCGATGTTGGCTGCTTACAGAAAACACTGTGCTAATCCATCAAGTGGTGGACAATTGATTCTACCAGAATCTATGAAATTGCTGCCGCTATATATTTGCAGTATGATAAAGAGTGATGCTTTAACTGGAGGTAAACGCATTTTTTTTTAATTTTTAATTGAACAATTTTATTAATAACATTCGATGAAACAGGTGCTGGCATAACGGTGGATCAGAAGGCTTTCGTTATGATGTTGATCTCCTCTATGCCCATCATTGAAACAGTTGCGTATGTATACCCAAGATTATTGGCATTGCACAATCTTCAAGGTAATGGGTTTCCACCAATGCTACGCTGTTCAATTGACAGATTTGAAGATAATGGTGTTTATTTGTTAGGTAAGTTCAAATGACTGAACATTATTGAATAAATGTTTTACAAATGATCTACGTTTGCAGAAAATGGAATTCACATGTTTATGTGGTTGGGTTTGAACGTAAATACCCAATGGATTCAGGCTGTTTTTGGAGTAGCGTCTGTTGCACAAGTTGATACCGATAAAACTGGTATTCCTACACTGGATAATGCTTTGAATAAACAAGTCAGAGAGGTTATCAGCCAAGTGCAAAGTGAAAGACGATATTGCATGAGGGTATATAACATTTATTCAATTTTCGATCTTTAACGAACTTTCTTTTTTCTAATCTAATTAATGTATTTCAGTTAACGCTCACAAGACAACGAGAAAAGATGGAAATGGTTATGCGTCATTATTTGGTTGAAGATCGAGGAAACGATGGGTCTTTGAACTATACTGATTTCTTATGCCACATGCATGGAGAAATTCGCTCCCTTCTCAGTTAATGTATATAAAATTTACATCAACATGAAACATTTTTTATAGTGCTATATTATTGTTTACACAACAGCGCTAAGAAATATTTGATAAAAGAAATATATACACACAATTTATTTATAACTGTTTTAGTCTATTTTAGAAATAAGCTTACAAAGGTTTTGTTTATTGAACACGTTAATTTTGAAGGTTATGCAATTTTAAAAAATTTGTTCTAAATATTGAAAAAAAATTTCGATTTAGTTAAGAAATTGATTTCATGATTTAGCAACCAGTACTACATGCTTTGTAAAATATACTTTATATTATTTGAAATATACAAGAAAGAATGAATGTAAGAATTGTTATATATACATACTGATACATAATCTAATGGGTAATTGTAAAATTAAAATTCTAATATATTTTCATATGGAAAATTTATTGATAGCTTAACAATATTCAGACGTACTTCATATAATAAACGTTTTATTCAAATAATTATTTTGATGTATTAATTATCCAACTGATTGTAACTAAAAATACTTATTTACTGTTTTAAACTACTTTAAAAAGCCCGCGGTTTACGATCATTAAATTAATCAGCTGATTGTCACAGATACGTTTCAGCTTATTCGCGTTCCTAATTCCCATGTTTCTAACTTCCAAGTGCCAGTGGTTTCTCATCGTTTAGTTTACGTTTACTCTCATTAGTTAATTATTTTTATTATTTTTAATATAAAACAATATGGAAGGAATAATAAGCGAGGAAAAGAAAAAATTAATAGAAGAATTGAATAAAATGATTAGTCGAGCAGATTCTGTTTTAAAAGAAGTGTGTGGATATTATCAATGGGATATCAAGGACGTTGAAAAAGTCGCTGTACGACTTAACCTAAATATTTTTATTATCTCTGATATTGAAATTGAAATGAATGTAATCATAACTGTATATTTCTTGTATTTCTAGGAAGAAAATTACATGATTTGTCCTTTTAACAAAAGCCACGTAGTTCCAGAAAAAAGTATGCACAGGCATTTAGAATCATGTGAATGGAGTACTCTTGGTTATACAAAAGATTGTAAACCACTACCAGAATCAGCTATTCCAACAGATTCTCCTTTTACCATTAAATTTGGTAATAATTATTTTTACGCAGTTTTTTGTTACTAACTTTTATGTAATATAAAAACTTTTAAATTTTCTTATCAATACTATTACAGATATTGAACTTCAATTCAAAGTCCTTCAAGAAGCAAAACAGAAAAACCCTCAACTCAACATAGGTAAAGCTTTTATTTCGATAAATCTCTGAATAATCATAAAGTTTTATCTATTTTATTCAATAGCTATGGTTTTTTCCAGAAAGCTATGAGTGTTATTTTCAACAAGGAATCATATCCTTTTTTTCATGTCTTTTGTGCTGTACATTACAATATTTTTCTTATTTTAGAGATACAATGAGAAATATCATACATTTTACTATATGTATGTAGTTATTACTTACATTATTTTAAACTGCAACATTTTTTACACGAAAAATAGGTACAGATGAAAAATTGATTCCAAAAACTTCAGACAGACTCACAAGTGATTTCACAAGAGATGAGCGAAAAGCAATATATGAGTATGTTGTTGCTCATACACTTGCTCCTGATGTTGGTCAAGATATTGCAGATTTAAATAAACCAGAGTAAGAAGGCATTTATGAGATTTTTATTTATTATTTTTTGTTTAATAAAAATTTGCTTTCAATTATTTACAGAAAAAAAGAGGAAAGAAGTGCATCACTTTTAGAGTTAATAGCTCAAGAAAGAAATCTGAAACGACGTAAAACACGGTATAGAGGAGTTCATACTAATAAAAAATCTCATTTAGAAATTATGAGAGAAGTAGTTCAACAGCAAATGGAAATGTACAAAGAATACCTTGCTGAAAAGTATGGTGTTCAAATCCCTGATGAAGATCCAGAAAATTCATTTAATAACATTAAGGATGAAACACGCTCTAGTTTACATTCTGAATTTTCATCTTTTAAGAGCAAAAGTCAGGACATGAATCGTGAATCAAATAGATCTAGAGATCATAATACAAATTATAGAGAAAGTACAAAACATCATAGCTATGATTTACATAGATTTCATTCTAACGAATATAATGATAAATCTCAGGAAAGTTATAAGCATTATAGTAGAGACTTAAGTAACAGCAGCAGACATTCTAGTCGGTACGAAGATCGTGATTATAAAAATCATTCAAAAGATTCATCAAGACGACACAACTATCGTGATGATGTTGAATATACGTCTCGTAATAAATATGAGGACAAAAATTACTCTTGTAAATACTCGGATAAAAGTCAAATAGATTATACGAATACGAATAAACGCTGCGATAAAATAAAGACAATTCGCGATAATAACCGTGATTATAATGATTCAGATAAAAGTTGTAACGATAAGGATCGCAGTAATCTTAAACGCAATCTCAGTAGCTCAATTGATAAAAACTCTTATCCTAAATCCAAAACTGACACTAATAGTCACATGAACGACGAAAAACATGAAAATAGTTATAAAACAAAAAAACAAAAATCAAGTAAAAGTAGTAAAGAAAAGAAACACAAAAAATCAAAACATAAATACAAAAGTCGCAGCAGAAGTAGGAGTTAAGTTACGAATTTTATATGATTAATTATGTTATATTTTTTATATGATATGGAACTTGTATGAATAATTCTTATATGCAAACTGAAATTTATTAAATCAACTACTAATAATTGTGTTGTTTGAATCTTAGTTACCTACTTGTAAATAGTACCAAATGTAAGTTGTACTTATGTTCATCATGCAAAAACTTTAAAGGGTGGTTGTAAATAATTAATGCTGTGAGTTTAATATTTTATAAATTTTGTATAACTCTTGCAAATGTAATTTTGTATAAAAAAGTTGCTAATAAATTTAAAAGATTTATCAACCTATTAATTGTCTCTTTAATCATTGTACCTATATAAATCTAATTTTTAATTTATAATGTTTGATAGCAAATTTATACATTTTCGAGTATGTCTTAGCTAATATTACACTACTGAAATTAATAAAATACCTGTCTTTAGTTGTCACGAATAAAGCATTATTCCGCTCCAATTATTTGTTAGTTGACAAAAAATTCTTATTCATCATCTACAACTTCAAAGTTATAAATTAAAGTTTGTTAAAACCACCTATAACAATAATTTAATCGAACAATTTTAGATTTTATAAAAAATAAAATAGAATGAACTTGTGTCTACTAATTTTTGTTCATTTGATTATATAATATTAATGTCTAGCGGGCATTGAATTATCAATGTTATTAAAATTATTATTGTGGTCATTAAAAGCATTACACATTTTTATTCATTTACATGTTACCGAGCAAAAATGAATAATTTGAATTTGACGCAGTAATGGTTCTTGGACAAAAATGATACAGTAGCCAATAAAATTAATTTAATTTTGAAAAACTCTGTATTGGTAGCAAACCGACTAGTCAAAAGTTTGGTCGGCTTGCTCATCAATCACGTAAACTACAAAGGTAAATTAGTGGTAAATTTAATAAATTCCAGTCATTGAACAATTATATTGATCGTCATTAACCTAAAAGTAGTACACCGATGTAAATTTGACAACACCGCATGAAAAGCGCGGTGACCGGCCGCAACAGCTCAGGCTGGCAGAGCGGGCCGCGGCGCAGAAGGCCACAGGAGCCAGCAGCTCGACTCTCAAGATGGCCACGTCGGACTCGAAGGCTCCACTGAGAACGGTCAAAAGGGTACAATTTGGCATCCTTTCTCCCGATGAGATCGTGAGTAACTCATTATTTAACCTGATGAATAATCTTATCAAATTACTTTTCCCCAGCATTATCCATTTATATTCAATCTTGTGAACGCGTCGTGGTCGCCACGGCCATGGCATGCCTTCATAACTAAAAATTTTTCGTGCCACAATCAAGCATCGTCACGAGGTCGTACTTTGTTGTTTATTGGTGCAATAATTGCGTTTAAAAGTTTTTTCTAACTTATGATATTAGGTATTGTAAAAATTGAGGTTCGGTGATATAAGAAGTGCATTAATCGACTGTACTTGTATTTATCTGTATATACATGTATATAGTGTTGTCGAATTTCATCATATAACAATACCAAACGTTTGGATATTTCTTGATATACGTTTTTATTATACCTCATGTTAATTAATTACATTTTACAATTAGACTTTTGTTTGGCAATATGAACAGGTATATATAATTTCTATCATTTCAACAAATTAAATTAACAATTGTTAAATAATATAAGATAAAGAGTCATATTATAAATTCTACATGAAGTTAATTTATCTAAGTGCTAAAGTAAATATTTTAATTTTTATAAAATAAAACAATGGCCGTCATATAAATTAGAGTAAGGTTTGAGTCACTAAATGATCAGTAACACTTTCATTTCTTTCAAATTCAGATCGGTCATAATTCTAATATTACGTGAAACTTTTTTCAAAATACTTCATGGTTGAAAGTCTTAAATTTACATTAAACTTGTTGATGAATAAATTTTTGATATAAATGTGATTTCATAAAAATTACTTGAAATTACTAAATGTATTTTGATAACTATTGTTTATTGGAATCTAATATTTGCTAGAAAATAATCATATTTCATTTCACTTCTCTATAAAAATTAACATCTGTTTTTGATATTTATGAATTATAATTTATTTTTTAGTTTTGTTCTTGAAATTGCTATTGTTTTATTTTCAACAATAATAGTTCTGTGTTTAATTTAGTGAGATTTCTTAGATACTTGCTTATAAATGTGAAAAATTGAATTCAGTACTTTTAATAGTAATTATTTGACATTTTATAATTAATACAACTTATTGCATTAAATAAAAATTTCATGATAATTTGGAAAATCAAGTTTAATAACTACTTCTATTAAAAAATACATCAATACAAAAAACCACAACTTAATGCTCTAATAATTTGAATTTAAGGCAAGCCCTTGTGATTGTGCATAATACTATAATGTGAATCAATATGACTTATATCTTATGCCATATTACTATGTACAATAGTTTATATATAAAATAATTATATGCAAAATTGTCGACATATCAAATTTGAATAAATAATAATTTTTTTTTTTTTCAGCGTCGTATGTCTGTTACAGAGGGGGGAATTCGCTTTCCGGAGACTATGGAAGGTGGACGCCCCAAGCTTGGTGGACTCATGGACCCCAGACAAGGTGTTATTGACAGAAATTCTAGATGTCAGACTTGTGCTGGCAACATGACAGAATGTCCTGGACATTTTGGACACATTGACTTAGCAAAGCCTGTTTTTCACTGCGGTTTTATAACAAAGTCTATTAAGATTTTAAGATGCGTTTGTTTTTTCTGTTCGAAGCTACTTGTTAGTCCAGTGAGTATAGTTTAAAATAATTTTTATTGTATTATTATACAATATTTGTATTATTATATAATTTGTCAATAACAATTTTTTTCTTCAGAACAATGCAAAAATGAAAGAAATTGTGATGAAGACAAAAGGTCAACCACGAAAGCGTTTGACATTTGTCTATGATCTTTGTAAAAGTAAGAATATCTGTGAAGGTGGTGATGAAATGGATATAGCCAAAGATGGACAACCCGAAGATCCCAACAAAAAGCCAGGTCATGGAGGTTGTGGTCGTTACCAACCAAATCTTAGACGATCTGGACTTGATGTAACAGCTGAATGGAAACATATCAATGAAGACTCACAAGAAAAGAAAATCATTCTGACTGCTGAACGGGCTTGGGAAATTCTAAAACATATTACAGATGAGGAATCTTTTATCCTTGGAATGGATCCCAAATTTGCCCGCCCTGACTGGATGGTAATCACAGTACTACCAGTTCCACCTCTTGCAGTACGACCTGCTGTAGTTATGTATGGTTCAGCAAAGAATCAAGATGATTTGACTCACAAACTCTCTGATATTATTAAGTCAAACAACGAGTTATTGAGGAATGAACAAGCTGGTGCAGCTCCACATGTTATTGCTGAGAACATCAAAATGTTGCAGTTTCATGTAGCCACACTCGTTGACAATGACATGCCTGGCATGCCAAAGGCTATGCAAAAATCGGGTAAACCTCTCAAAGCTATCAAAGCTCGTTTAAAAGGCAAGGAAGGTCGTATCCGAGGTAATCTCATGGGTAAGCGTGTGGATTTCTCTGCGCGCACCGTCATCACACCAGATCCGAACCTGCGAATTGATCAGGTTGGTGTACCCAGGAGTATCGCACAAAATCTCACGTTCCCGGAAATCGTCACACCATTCAACATTGACAAGATGCAGGAACTTGTGAGAAGAGGAAACACGCGTTACCCTGGTGCCAAGTACATCATTCGCGATAATGGAGATCGTATTGACTTGAGATTTCATCCAAAGCCTTCTGACCTCCACCTACAATGTGGTTACAAAATTGAACGACACATCAGAGATGGTGACCTAGTTATTTTCAATCGTCAGCCAACTCTTCACAAGATGAGTATGATGGGTCACAGGGTAAAAGTTTTACCCTGGAGTACCTTTCGTATGAACCTCAGTTGTACTTCACCGTACAACGCCGATTTCGATGGTGACGAAATGAATTTACATGTTCCACAATCTATGGAAACTCGAGCTGAAGTTGAGAATATCCATGTCACTCCTCGACAAATTATCACACCTCAAGCCAATAAACCTGTTATGGGTATGCATTGTTCTATTTGAAAATAGTACAATTATTATGCATATAAATAAATCATTAATTTCATTTTACAGGTATTGTACAAGATACGCTCACAGCGGTCAGAAAAATGACCAAGAGGGACGTCTTTATCGAGAAAGAGCAAATGATGAATATCCTTATGTTCTTACCCAGTTGGGATGGAAAAATGCCACAACCTTGCATCTTAAAACCCAAGCCTTTGTGGACAGGCAAACAGATCTTTTCCTTGATTATTCCTGGAAATGTAAATATGATTCGTACTCACAGTACGCATCCGGATGACGAGGACGACGGTCCTTACAAATGGATTTCACCTGGAGATACAAAGGTCATGGTGGAGCACGGAGAACTTATTATGGGTATCTTGTGTAAGAAGACTCTCGGTACATCGGCTGGTTCTCTGCTGCATATTTGTATGTTGGAATTGGGTCACGAAGTTTGTGGAAGATTTTATGGTAACATCCAAACTGTAATCAACAATTGGTTATTGTTGGAGGGTCACTCGATTGGTATTGGAGACACTATTGCCGATCCTCAAACTTATCAAGAAATTCAAAAAGCTATCAAGAAAGCCAAAGAAGATGTCATAGAAGTTATTCAAAAAGCTCACAACATGGAGCTTGAGCCAACACCCGGTAACACACTTAGGCAGACCTTCGAAAATCAGGTCAACAGAATTCTCAACGACGCTCGTGACAAGACTGGTGGCTCTGCCAAGAAATCTTTAACTGAGTACAACAATCTAAAGGCTATGGTCGTTTCAGGTTTGTACATTTTTTATTATCGCGAGAGTTCTAGCCAGTAAATAAAAAATAAATCACAAATCCAATTTGTGTTTAAATTTCAGGTTCTAAGGGTTCTAACATCAACATCTCTCAAGTTATTGCTTGTGTAGGCCAACAGAACGTCGAAGGTAAACGTATTCCTTTCGGTTTTCGTAAGAGAACTTTACCTCACTTCATCAAAGACGATTACGGTCCCGAGTCCAGAGGATTTGTCGAAAACTCATACCTTGCTGGCCTTACACCTTCTGAGTTCTTTTGTCATGCCATGGGAGGACGTGAAGGTCTTATCGATACAGCTGTTAAAACTGCCGAAACTGGTTATATTCAGCGTCGTTTAATAAAGGCTATGGAATCCGTAATGGTGCATTACGACGGTACTGTCAGAAATTCAGTCGGACAGCTCATTCAGTTGCGTTACGGTGAAGACGGACTTTGTGGAGAAACCGTTGAGTTCCAGAACTTGCCTACTATTAAACTCAGCAATAAGGCTTTCGAAAAGAAGTTCAAATTCGATCCGAGCAATGAAAGATATCTTAGGCGAATCTTCAATGAAGACATTGTACGTGAGATGATGGGCTCTGGTGAAGTTATTTCTGAACTCGGTAAGCTTTTCTTCTATTATTACTTATTTTTATTACCACTTTGTGAAACGACTAATTGTACTCTATTTATTTATAGAGCGAGAATGGGAACAATTGAACAAAGATAGAACAGCTCTCCGAGAAATCTTCCCTAGTGGTGAATCGAAGGTTGTGTTGCCTTGTAATTTGCAACGCATGATTTGGAACGTACAGAAAATCTTCCATATCAATAAGCGTGCACCAACAGACTTGAGCCCCATGCGAGTAATTCAAGGCGTGAAGGATCTTTTGGAGAAATGTGTGATCGTAGCTGGTGAAGATCGTCTCAGCAAGCAAGCCAATGAAAACGCCACACTGTTGTTCCAGTGCTTAGTACGTTCAACCCTATGTACGAAATGCGTATCTGAAGAATTCAGGCTGTCTAGCGAAGCCTTCGAATGGTTGATTGGAGAAATCGAGACTCGATTCCAGCAAGCTCAATGTTTCCCAGGAGAGATGGTTGGCGCCTTGGCTGCTCAGTCACTTGGTGAACCTGCAACACAGGTATAGTTTTATTGAAATACAAAAACATTACTATTTGCAATATAATTATTAATAATAAAAATTGTGTTTAATTTATAGATGACACTGAATACTTTCCATTTCGCCGGAGTGTCATCGAAAAACGTAACACTTGGTGTACCTAGACTCAAGGAAATTATTAACATCAGTAAGAAACCTAAAGCTCCTTCATTAACTGTATTCTTGACTGGTGCAGCCGCAAGAGATGCCGAAAAAGCCAAGAACGTTCTTTGCCGTCTTGAGCACACGACACTCAAGAAGGTAACTGCCAATACAGCGATTTACTACGACCCAGATCCACAAAATACAGTTATCTCAGAAGATCAAGAGTTTGTAAACGTTTACTATGAAATGCCGGACTTTGATCCAACTAAAATTTCACCTTGGTTATTACGTATTGAGCTCGATCGTAAGAGAATGACGGACAAAAAATTGACCATGGAACAGATCGCTGAGAAGATTAACGCTGGATTCGGTGACGATCTCAACTGTATTTTTAATGACGACAACGCCGAGAAGCTTGTATTGCGTATTCGTATAATGAACAGCGAGGAAAATAAATTCACCGACACTAATGAAATCGAGGAGTCTATCGATAAGATGGAGGACGATATGTTCTTACGTTGCATTGAAGCGAATATGTTGAGTGACATGACTCTGCAGGGTATCGAGGCGATCAGCAAAGTATACATGCACTTGCCACAAACTGACTCAAAGAAAAGAATCATCATCACAGAAACCGGTGAATTCAAGGCTATTGCTGAATGGCTGTTGGAAACTGACGGTACCAGTCTCATGAAAGTACTCAGCGAGCGAGACGTCGATCCAGTCAGAACATTTTCTAACGATATCTGCGAAATCTTCCAAGTGTTGGGTATCGAGGCCGTGCGAAAGTCTATTGAGAAAGAAATGAATGCGGTGTTGCAGTTCTACGGTCTTTATGTCAACTATCGTCATTTGGCTTTGCTTTGTGACGTCATGACTGCCAAAGGTCACCTTATGGCCATCACACGTCACGGTATCAACAGACAAGATACCGGTGCTCTCATGAGATGCTCGTTCGAAGAGACTGTCGACGTGCTGCTCGACGCTGCGTCTCACGCTGAAGTCGATCCTATGAGAGGCGTGTCCGAGAATATTATTATGGGTCAACTGCCACGTATTGGCACTGGTTGCTTTGATTTGCTGCTCGATGCTGAAAAATGTAAACAAGGTATCGAAATACCAATGGCTGTTGGAGCGAATATCATGGGTGGAACTGGAATGTTCTTTGGCAACGCTACAACACCAAGCATGAGCCCACAAATGACACCATGGTTGGGCGCGACACCAGGCTACGGGGCAGCGGGAATGTCTCCAAGCATCGGCAGTGGAATGACTCCCGGTGGCGCTTGCTTCTCACCATCTGGACAATCTGACGCATCTGGATTATCCCCAGCGTACTCAGCTTATTCGCCACAACCAGGAAGTCCAGGCAGTCCTGGACCCAGCATGAGTCCATACCCGATGTCACCAGCTGGTGGAGCTTCTCCAAGTTATTCGCCCACTTCACCGGCGTACCTGCCTGCGTCACCGAGCATGACGCCGTCGAGTCCGAATTATTCTCCGACAAGTCCTACTTATTCGCCAACAAGTCCAAATTACTCGCCAACTAGCCCCAGCTATTCGCCGACGAGCCCGAGTTATTCACCGACAAGTCCAAGCTACTCACCAACGTCACCCAGTTATTCGCCGACTAGTCCGAGTTACTCGCCTACGAGTCCTAGCTACTCGCCGACTAGCCCAAGTTATTCTCCGACGAGTCCGAGTTACTCACCGACAAGTCCCAGCTACTCTCCAACTAGTCCGAGTTACTCGCCTACGAGTCCCAGCTACTCTCCTACTAGCCCAAGTTATTCTCCGACGAGTCCCAGTTACTCACCTACCAGTCCGAGTTATTCGCCAACGAGTCCTAGCTATTCACCTACGAGTCCAAGCTACACACCAGCGTCGCCGTCATATTCGCCGACTTCTCCATCATACTCACCTTCGTCGCCGCAGTACTCGCCGGCTTCGCCAAGTTACTCACCTTCGTCACCGAAGTATTCACCGACAAGTCCAAGTTATTCACCGACTTCACCATCTTTCGCAGGCACGTCATCGCAATACACACCAGCGAGTCCGACGTACTCGCCGACGAGTCCAAGCTACTCACCGACTTCACCGAGTTATTCGCCTACGTCGCCGAGCTATTCGCCAAGTTCACCTCAACACAGTGGCGGAAGTACTAAATACTCGCCAAGTAGTCCCAATTATTCACCAACGAGTCCCACATACTCACCTACTAGCACGAAGTATTCTCCGACCAGTCCCACATATTCTCCCACCAGTCACAGCTATTCTCCAACAAGTCCGAGTTATTCGCCTACAAGCCCTGCATATTCACCACAAGTACCAGGGTACTCGCCGACTAGTCCCACTTATTCAGCTTCCTCGCCAACTTACGAGTCTGAAGACAGTTAAACTACTGGAATATTACGGAATTCATCATCTGTGTGAATGGTTGATGCATGAATGGTTAATACGTATTGCGTTGATGAGTCTCGTGTTGAGTCGGATGTTGGGACACGTGTTTACTTTGTTGTATCTTCGTATAAAGCGAATTTGAAACGTATGTTTTTTTATAAGCGTGAAGAATCAATTTTGTTGAACTTGCTGAAATATGCGGGTTCGTTCTCAAGAAAGTACGGTATAATTTATTCAGTGTCGCAATTGCGCGAGAAATAAAAAACATCTTTTATTTTTAATGCTTTTGAAATGATTGTTTGATTTTTTTTAGTCCAATCATATTATAGTTGAATTTCAATTACAGATTTACTTACGTTATGAATAAACTTCATAATATCTTTTGTAATAAAAAATTTTTCGTATAAATGACTTGGAAATTACATTAATATTCCCTAACAAAGAATTTGATACACCAAAAACATTGCAATTTTAAATGTACGAACTGGTATAAGTATATATGTTATTGTTTTTATAATTGAAAACAATTGTACTCTTTCAATATATCTGAGTGGCCTTAATAAAAAATACGGTATTTTCCTAAAATTTAACCACTCATGACTTTTTCAAATGTTACTTATCTTAGTATTTGATAATTACCCTATCATTATTGAAATTCAAATTATAAATGAAAAAATTAGTATTTTGTACAATTCAGAACCAGCATCTAGTTTAGCGTAAGGTGTATTATGTAAGTGTAAATGATTATAGTAAACTTAAGGAATCCATACAAATTCGATCGAAAATAATGAAAAGAGAAAAAAATGGATTTTATTTTATTTTTAACAATAAAGTATTTTCACTTCCAACATCTTTCGCTACAATTATTACGTGCATGGTTTGGTAACTTATGAAGATGAGTGGAAAAAAAAGTTGACCACAGAGTTTATGCAACACAGTCAACGACTACGATAATGTGCATGGGTGAGTGTTAGTTGAAGATATGTTACTGTAATTAAGTAAATGTCATTTACACTATAAATAAGGAAATAAAAATATAAAAAAGGTTATTTGAAAAAAAGATTAAAAAAGTCCGAAGAATAATTATAATGGTTGATAATTCAGTTATTGAAAATCTGTGCCTGCTACAGCGTATTTTAAATTGTTTTTATTATTTCAAGTTCGGGCATTCTTGATAAATAATTGGCCTCTTGTTTTCTTTTTATAACAAACAATTGACAAGGAGCAAGGTCAACGTTATTACAATTAAGAGTATTAGCTACATTTATTAAAAAATACATTTTTTATCAATAAATATATCGATTGATATACGACTTTTTACATGCATTTAAGTTCAGTAGTATTTTAAATCATTGGAAAATATATATTTATATGAATAAAAATACTACACACAAATTCCTATTATCATTGATTATCCTTAACCAATCAGTCTTCAATTGTAAAGTATCGTTACATCGAACATCGTTAAAAATCAATAATAAATCTTTATCATTCGAACTGTAAATGTTGGCTAAGAAAAGCCAATGGCAGTTGCGTCGATAATGCATTTGCGGGTCTTCGAGATCATTCAGTCTACGTGCATTATCCGAAACTATCGAGTTACCTGGCATGCGGGAGTGGCTGTGAGTTGCAACGTCAACGAACCAGTCGAGGTGCGACATGAGTCGCGAAAAGATCCCGCTCCTCCCGAAGGAAAATCACAGCGGACTGTCTTTACTTTTCGCCACCTTGTGCATCGTTGACATTTTTGGTGTTTTTCCCGTGATCGCCTTACCCAGAGCAATTGTTTTGTGTGGTGAGCATAGCTGCCTCGAGTTACAGATACACGCGCGTTTTAAAAGTCTTTATTAAAGTCTGGATACGCAAAGTATCACCACACCTCTTATAAAATAAGCGCTAATGTTCAACTTGTAAATCTAATAAAATGTGCTATTGATCTAGGATCGCTTGGAATCCCGTTAGTTCTTGTAGTTTTTGGACTACAAATTTACACGGCATCATTGCTTGGAAAATCATGGAACATCGCGACAACGATCGATCCTCACATTTTTCGAAAGAATCGGCAAGTTTCATCTTTAACAATCCGAAATCAAACAACTGTCTAATTTATCTAACCCAAATTTCAGTTATCCTTTGGCCGCTGTAACAGAACTGACGTTAGGTCGATGGGCAAGTAAATGTGTTACAATACTGCTTGACGCGACAATTTTTGGAGGTGGAATACCTAATTTACTGGTAGGTGCGTAATGTATCTTGATCTTGAACCTTCACAGCAAACAAATTTTTAAGTAGAATTAAGCACGAACGTTCAAATCTTTTCGTCGCTCGTTAGCATCGCAAAACTTGCAACTTTTCGGATTAAAAGTATCCGAGCAACAATTCAATTTGTCCTTCTGTTACTGGCTACTCGTTGTCGGATTACTACTGTGTCCAATCATGTGGCTTGGGAGTCCGCGAGACATGAAGTGAGTAAGTGTACGGATATACGATCCGATTTACATCGTGTCAAAAAGTTTTTAATGCACAGTATAGCGAAAACCGCGCGATTACAAATAGCGCGATATGTCATTACAGGTGGCTCGTTACGTTTTCAACGTGTATCGTAATAACTACCGCGATCCTCATCTGGTTTTCTATTGTGCAAGACCAGAGGGATATGGCCTATTCGCCGATTACAATGTCTCCGCCGTGGGAGAGATTCATTTCAGGGTAACTAAAATCAAAACGTATTTTCTGTTTTATTTTTTTTTTAATGAACAATAAAAATACCTTAAATTTATAATAAATTTATTGAAGATACGGCATGCTGGCTTTTCAATTCGACGTTCATCCGACTCTGATGACAGTCCAGGTCGACATGAAAAAGCACAAAGACATTAACAAAGCAGTAATATCTGCCTTTTCCCGTACGTCAAACGATTGCATGACTGCTAAATCTCGACATTTGTTAATTGCATTGACATTTCTTTAGTGAGCGGACTGTTGTTCGTGATAACGGCTGGCTTGGCGGTGTGGCGCTACGGCAGTAATACATCTGCCAATATTTTTCAAGCAGTTCCATCAGTCGCGAGTACCCACATCGCCGTTTTATTGGCTTCATTGCAGCTTTGCCTGTCAAGTGCTATTGGTCATTCGGCACTTTTTCAACATCTCGAAGATCAATTGCGAGTTCAGAGATGTAATTTTTTTTTTAAATCAAATGTCGTTTATCTTATATCGCAAAAAATGTACAAATTTGAAACTTGAATTGTGAATTTTCTGGTCAGCGTTCGGCTGGAAACGCTGCGCGATGCGTTCAGCCGTGGTAGCCCTGGCAGTAGCGGTAGGTGAATCGGTGCCCCGCTTCGATGTGGTGATGTCATTGATCGGTGGTACTTTGACCGGACCATTAATTTTCGTTCTTCCACCTCTCATGTACTCCAAAGCGAAGGCTCTACGAACAAAAGGATTACGACGGTCGTCTGCTCCCGAATTTTCATGCCGTGATCCGGACGAAATTAAGGATACTCATGCGATTTTTACCGACTCGAAGATGCGTTCAAAGTTAGTACTTTTGAGTGTGTTGTAGTAGTTTCATTGTCTATTAGCATCTGATTTATCACCTACTGTGTTGTATTTTGATTTTCTTTAATTTCTTGCTTTTCTTTCTTTTCAAAACTTGACTTTCAAACGAGACCTTTGCTGATTCTCGAGTGCACTCCAGGTGAGATAGAGTATTTTTATCACGTTGTTTTTAGACTGCACGATGTAATTGTTATTCTATTTCCGTAGGTAAAGTAGTTAAAATGAATGTGTTTGGATTATTTTCTAAAATAGTAAAATTAACAATAAGTAACACTGCGACCTTAAGCATACTTAATCAAGGAGATAGGGTAGAAATTTAATATATTTTTCACGTAGATCTACTCATTATGGTTTTCGAGACGGGCGCGAAGATAAAGATGATGGTTATTCGTACATTTATTATGGTGAAGTTGACGATGAGGATGAAAGCTTAGGAGATCATGAAGATGATTTTTCAAAAAGGGCAAATAAAGTTATAGAAATGACGAGAAGTGGAAGCTTACCAGTTATGATAGATGCAAGTAGACCCTCGTTACGACGGCAAAGGTATACCTTCATTAAGATACAAAAAATATTACCATTTATAATATAGTTATTATCATCATCATAAAAAATCATGTTTAATTGACAGATTGCGAACAGTATATCTAGATGCAAGACCTAGGAAATTTTTTACTGTCAGCAGATTAGTCGATTGGTTTGGATACAGTATAGTCATTGTGGGGATACTCATCACCATTTCTTCAACATATATCAATGTTAAAAATACTATTAGATTTGTTAAATTTACTCCTCCATGTATTGCCAATGCCTCAGCTGATATTTCAGGTTTATTTTAGAGTGTTATTATTGATGCAAGAAGTGCAATGCTGTTGGGATTAAGTTTCGCGTATTTGTAATTTATATGACGCTATTGTCGATACGATTTTTTATGTTTTTTATATTTCAAAAATTAAAAACATTTCTATAGTAATGTAGACATTCATTTCATTTTACCTTGCTTCAAATTGAATCAAGAGAAACGAATGATACGCGCTTTTTTTTACTTCAAGCACAGACAGATTGGATATGAATTATTTATTCGTGTCATTACTTTTACGCATCAGCCGTAAATTTGATCCCCACTGAAAATATATATATATAAAACTTGTACGCAACTTCTATAAAAATTGTACAAGAATGTGTATAACATTTGTAGTTGGGAATTGGATAAAAAATTCCATATGGTTTTAAAAAATAAAATATACCTGTGAAATCCCACACGGGATCCCACATGCGATTCCAAATAGCTAATTATCATTCTGAAATTCCACATAATGTTTTTTAAAATCCAATAGATTCCACGTGAAATCAAATAATAATAAATGTATCAACGTGCTACAAATTAAAATAATATCGATATAACATACAGTACTGAAAAATAACTAAAAGCGATTATAATAGTAATTTGAAATTTTATTGTAATTTCATTGTACATAAATTGTACATACAAAAAAGGATAGCTAGAAAATAATCTTACTTTGCAACTTATTTTTCCTAAAAAATAAGTAGGCACACAAATTTTCAGAACATTAATAATTCAAAACGTTTGGAATTGATATAATATACTGGGTTTTCTTAGTTTCAACGAATATGCATACTTTTTTAATACGTTCTGTTGATATCGTTTTGGCATTTATGGAAATCATTATTTGATGTACAAAAGAACATGTACTAACAAGATCTGCCGTTATAATTTTGCATAAAGTCAATTCCTTTTTAGAAGATGAATCGAACAAAAATTATTCATTTTCAATAAACTCATTCTCTAACTGAGCATAACAATTTGCTAAATGTTCGTTTTGAATTTAATTTGAAGTATATGAACAAGTACCTTTAAATTATCTTATCTTTAAAATAGTTAATTATTGTAAAATAATAATGAAAATTTTTTTTTTTAATTAAATAGCAGCAAGTTCTTACGCAAGATCTTATCCTCTATTTTCACTAGGGCATTCGTTAAATTAAAATTGATTAGTATACATTATATGAGGAAAATTCATTTTATAATAATGATAATTATTAATCATTTTATTGAAAATTTATCAATTGGTACAAAATTCGTACAATATATGTACAAATTTTGTTTAAGAACTTAATGAGATGTGTATAAGATATGTACAAGTCTTGTATAAGTTTTATCGGAAAATGTGTGTACTAGTTTCGCACAAGGTTTGTACAAGGCTTGAACAAATCTTCTACTAATATTGCACATATTCTTGTACAATTTTTGTATTATACAAGTTTTGTATTATATTCAGTGAGGATAGCAGCACATCCAGCAAAGCAAAATAGGTAGCCTTATCATCAGTGAGTAAGTCGGTGCCGACAAGAAAGCGTCTTGGAGAGTGTCCGAGCGATGGCGCGACAAATAGCTCTAGGTTGTCTTTATAAGGAGGCACGGCACTGTCGATCCTCATTCTTGTCCGCCAAGCGGTACAAGAATCATCTCCTCCCTCGTCTTTTTCCAATAGTCTCCGGCGTAGTGATAGCAGTAGTATAGTAGATAGTAGTAGCGACTTAACGAGCGATCGGTATGAGAAGGTTGCCAATGTAATGCCTATTCAACATTCCATTGTTCCAATCCACTTCTTTTTTATATATCATGCTCTCGTGCTATAATGTATCAATGCCTATTAATTTGATTGTTTGAGCGTCTATACATTGGGATTCTGACGGTTAGCCGAGCCCACTGAGGACACACATGCACGTCGGGACAAGTTTTATATTGAATTTTCTAGCAGAGATTATTTTACGTCGAAAAAGGCAGGGGAAAAATCGGCGGCTTGAAATTGTTGGCGGTGGGACGAGGGCTATATATGCGAGTCTGAAACTGCATAGAGCACAGAACTGTTTCAACTTTTCTACCGACAACATCCACTACTGCAACCATGAAGAAGAGTCTCCAGCTCTGGTACTCCTACGGAGCCAACGTCGAGGACTACAAGCTTCAACGCCGAACGCTGATCGAGGAGGGGAGCCTTACGCTGCCTGTACCACCATCGCCGAGGACGCTTCCAAAGAAGCTTTTGTCATTAAAGGGTAACTCCTTATGGATTGATTGCTTTCATCCCGAGGAACGCGAGTCTGACGAGTATTTCGTCCCGACTCTCGAAGCCGGCAACGATTACGTGCCGCCGAGTTGGTCGAACGCGTTCTTAGGAACTGCCGCTGCGGAGCAGCTGGCATTGAAAGAGCTTGCGCGCGTTGGAACGATTCTAGCTGACAGTACCGACAAGGACAGCTTGTTCAAACGCGAGGCTCTCGAGAGAAAATCCGAGGGGCGATTCCCGAACCTACTCCTGAGTTTACCGCCCTCTAACTCACCTGTATCGCTAACGTCGAGGCTCGGGAAAAAGAGCGACCGCGTGCTGGTCGCTCCTAAGATTTTGGAAGACGTCATAAATAAAATCAGAAGCAATATCAAGCCTGCAAGGAGGGCTATCGAAATCGAGGCGCAGTGGATGCCAGCAAAGATAGCCCGTAAATACGTTGAAAGAAAGAAGAATCGCACCTTAAAACAGAGAATGAGATGTCGCAACTTGATTTGAGCTACGTTGCAGAGAGAGAAGGTCGCGTAGGAAGATTCACGCGAGAAGAGGCCACAGACTAAGGATGTAGAATGACACAACCAGGTTGTCTATGAAACTGACCATCGTTTCGTTTGATCCTTAGTCGGAATAGTCCTAATCAGGACTACCAATGGAAAATCAGCCCTTCTCAGGGCTAACAAAACTTAACGTCGAACAAACTGCTATTCGTTGCAATAAAGATGTACACCCGTTCCCCTTTCCCCTGAACTCGCCTACTTTTCATACTGACAGACGTGCATCGATAACTCGGCCATTGGGTTACCACTGCAAGCTTCATTTGGACAAGAGTTGGTTGTTGGACTACCGCTCCTTTGGGATGCCAAGCAGCAGCTTGATTCAATTTTGCCGGCTTTAGCTTATCGTTGGGTAAGAAACTGGACTGCAGCTTGATTTTGTGTATTGTCGACTGCGACTTCCCACTGCCGAAAGGGATATATGCGCGGAAATGACTTTCTGCATACGAGAGCTTGCGAACGATCAACGAATCGAACGACTTCCACGACGTACGAAAATTCTTCGCGTAGCTACGCTCTTCCCTACTCGAGAGTAACAATTTCTCGAAGCGTGGTAGAAGCACGTATAGTTTGCCGGTACGCAGTGCTTGGAGCTTGCGCGACTCTCTGGAAAAGGTCTAACCGAGTGACTGTCCTAACGAGTTCCTGTCCATTTTTGCACCGTACATCGAGAGCCGTTAAGTATTGATAAACTGCGTATCTTCAAACTCGTTCAATCGATATTCCACGATGCAAACTATAGTATTCCAGATCTGAGGTGGTCCAAGACCCGTCTAGTATAACTACGACGTTAAGTGTTCCAATTCATTCGTATTTAAGAAGCAAGATCATATTTTATATCATGTAATACTTTGAGATTGTCAGTTTCAATAAAACTTCTTATGTTAACTTATTGTATTAACTATGCTTTATTACGCCGTTTTATAATGAGATGTCAAAATTTTTCATCTGTCGCGGTACGAGAGGTGCAGACTCCACAAAAGTACAGGGAGCTGTCGATATACTCTCAACATTATATACTTAGAATGCCATATTCACTCCACTTCAACAAAACAACGTTTCACCTTTTAATGGATATAAAATATAGTCGAATAAGCATAGCTTATTTTGCACTTATATTACATAACAATTTGCACATGTTTCATTCGTTAAGTAGCAGTTAATTTTATAACTCAAAGTTGTACTGTTTTGATATTCAAATCATATTTAAAATCATTAAACGTAAAAAGATCATAAATTCGTATTACAGAAAAAAAATAATACAGAAACAAAGCGAATAAAAGTAAAAGAAGTTTAAGTTCCAGATTATTTGCATAAAGGTTTCAATAATGTAAAGTACTTATATATTTAGCGAAAAATGTCTTTATTTGCATTGTAAATGACAATATTTGGAAAAGAATTATTTCTGATGAATGTTTAGAACATGATAAGACATAGTGAAAAACCAGTTACAAAAATATTCTACTTGAACGGTATTGTCGATAGGCCGTGCACTCAATGAAATTGCTCAAGCGGTATCTAGTCTAGCAATGCGAATGTCCCGACGAACTGATATTTTTCTGCACGTCGTTGTTGTAATAACGCGTGAGGTAGGGCCATCGACATGCGTCAAGCGATTCGTAATTCTCTCGTTTGTTATCGGCCGCCACGGCCAACAAGTCTTAATGCTTGAACATCGCCCCCATGGAACAGAACGGATCCTGTACAGACCTTGCTCGTCGATGAATCGAGCGATGAAGGCGCTTTCCGTCGAACTTTGCTACATACTGTTGAGCAAAGTTGAATGCAAGCGACTAGAACTTGCGGTACAACAGATCAAAAAATAATCGGCGCCATTAATGGCCACGACAGTACTCCTCGCCGTACATGATTAGCGTGAATTTCTCTTCCGAAGCGTCGTCACTTACGAAGATGTAGTGGCTTTCCGGCAAAGCAGTCCCGTGAACCTCGACATACTTGCACTTCCTGGTATTCCATAAAATTAGTTTCATCTCACTCCGCTCGTTAGTCACAGTGAGGAGCACACTGTCTTGCGACTAAGGTATCCTATTGCATGAACGGCACGAAGCATTGACTTTTCGTTGCGTTAGGCTCCGATCCAATGATCCGAACGCACAAGCCACCCAAGTCATGAGCGTTCTCAACGAATAAAATGACGGCGAAATTACCATCGTCCAATATATCCGAAGTGATTTCGGACATCTCGCTTGCACGTCTCTGTGACTTTTCAATGTACAAAGATGTATATTATTTTTCTGTTTTTACTGACGCCTTTAATGCCGACGAATAGCTTGCTGCTCATAATCACTTTGGCTTTACGGATTGAATGATCCTCGTTTATCATTGGCTATATGGAAATACATAGTCAATTTTGTGACGGGACTTTTGATGTGATTGCACTTCATGAAAGATCGTTCGTACGTTATATTTCTTCTCTAATACACTTTTAGAATTTACTATTTAGATGATTTATGCGTTATTTTCCTCGTTGATTTAGTATTCTTTAAAAGAGAGCAAGTTTCAAAACTTACTGACAATCAGTCTTTGACAATACGACAATATTGCACAGTATTCAAAGCGATTTAAATATTTTCAAATACATTGGAAATTTCTCAACATATCTACACTGACAAAAAATTTTATTGTAACGAATCAATTTCCCTTGTCCCAAAAAGGTTGTTGTAGTACTCTGCTTACTATTATGCCATCACTAATGTCTGTAATAGACATTGCATAATAAACTGGCAAAATTCACGGCTGGTTTTTTCTTGATACTTTGTTAAATGATCAAAGATAATTGGTTCGCAAAAATAATTCTATTATTAAATGTCAAAACAATATCTAATCTTATCATATAACGGTCTTCTCGAAAAAATTTTTTGTAAGTATGCAATTACATATTGATTAAGTTGTTGATATATAACTAAAAAACGTGTTTAATTATAACAAAAAAGATCAGTTGCATAGAAAATTATACAATTCATTTATTATTGCGATAATTGCATAAAAAATAATATAGAATTTAGGATACTTAACATGAGAAAACAAAAACGATTAACAGAAAACATAATTTTTCAATGCCTGACAAATCTAATACACATCACAGTTAACGCCAAACAACTGTTTTAAACTCCTACGTATCTAGCTCTTAATAACCTAGTGTCTCCAATTCGATATGTGAGTCTCACAAAAAACTCACTGTTGATATTGAAAGTTTCGATGTTTTCAGCAGTGAGATCTGCTTTAAACGCGTGCCAAGGGCCAGCGAGTCCCTCAAACTTCCACATGCCATCGTCGCGAACAAGAATTGGTTCATTCGTTGGTTCTACTTTATTCAAAACAAAATGAGAGGACGACGGCATGTGGTATTTTTGAATGTCACCCCATGTTTCGTAGCGCACAACTAACATTTCGGTATTCAGAAGCGCAACGATCCATACGACACGGTTGTGACTTAACACTGACGCGTCGGATATGCCTGGCACTCGGATACCTGTAAAGAGCACAATACGCGCTTTCATACAAGAAAACAAGTAAACATTGTCGAGACGGACTTACTTTCCGAAACGATGAACGTGTTTGCTCGGTATTCATATTGGTAAATTGTGATCCTACTCCCCGGGCCCGAGCTTACTTGCACGACGAGAGTTACGCTGTCCACCGACAGAATTTCACTGACTACCATGTTGCTGGAGTTGGTGAGCGGTTTCAAGTGATATCTGTTCTGGCCACTGCATTCTAGGTCGAACACGCTGATGAAGATGCAGTTTCCGAGCTGGTGAAGAGTCAAAGTGACCGGCGGCGAGTACTCGTTGACGGGTAGCAGAACTCGACCCTTGACTTCTTCGAACTTGTACCAATACTTGGCGCGATCTTGCAGGAAAATATTTTGCTTTCTTAATGACAGATTGAATCAATAGTGCAAATTTACCGGACAAAACTTACTTTTATACGCCGTTCCAATAGCCGTAGCATAAGGCTTGAGATAATCGATAGTCCCAGTCAGAGGCGACAAATTTTTGTTGATCGAGTTGATATCTGGCATCTCGACGCCTTTCAAACGTTTGATTGTCAGATTGCCGAGGATGTGTAGATTGCCGCTAAACTTTATATCTGATTTAAAGCTCTGGACAGATGCGTTCTTCGTCAATTGATTGAGAGCAACGTCAGTAAAGTTCATACCATTTATGAGCCCCCCTAGTAATATCGATGGACTATGTAGCGAGCCTTTGATAAGTTTCGGTTCAGTGATGACTTGATCCCCGGACGCTCTTAAGCATTTCTCTATTCTTTTGCCCATTACCGTGCCGTTTACTCTGAACAACGAATTCAATTAATCAAAAAATAATTGCTTTCTTGATTCAGCTTAGAATTTACAATGAATTTATACTCACTTCAAAATTCGTGCGCGAAGGTTATTAAATGTCTTTCTGCCCGTTATTACTACAGGTTTCTCCGTGCCTGACTGCATCAAAGCATCTTTTGCCCACTTATTAAAATTCAAACCGTGCAAGTGCTTCGCTGTCAGCCCCTTCACAGTTTTTTTACCGGTTATCATGTTTACTTTCACATCGTGCCTCGCAACATCAGTGAATAAGTTAAGATTATTGATTTTTCCCTGTAATATCAAATCACCTGCAAATTGAAACAAAATTTAGTGAGCACGCGATTATGACGAATCAAGAGATCACAAAAAGCGGTAAGAATTCGTACCTGTGACGATGAGCTCTTCAAAGCGCCACTTGTCAGTAATAGTCCAGTCTACGTCTTTCTTCAAAGTCATGTTGAGCAGGTCATTGAAGTACAGGTCGGAGCTGTTCAAAAATGAATTGCCAGTAGTTATTATGTTAGGCATTTTCGCATTTCTGAAGTTAAGTGTAGATGGAATCTCTTGCAACTTAGTTTTACTTAACAAACGACTTTCTACAGTTGCCCAAGGACCAAAATTCTGCGTGTTCAACAAATCCTATATACGAAAAAAATATTATTATACATATGTTTTAACTTATAGCGTAAGTCGTTACTTACGAATGAATCGAAAGGCTGCAAGAGAGTGACGTTGTTCAAGAGGAAATCCCCAGCCAAGCTTATAGGTTGATCTAGCATCCATATACCTGCTATCAGTTCTTTCAAATTCTTTCCATTGATATTGACAACATTAGGCTCTTTTTTAAATGTAACAGAACCTACACCGATAATCCATTATTTTTATTTTATTGGAAATTCGATCGACAATTGTAAAAATTTCAATAAATTAATAAATTTAACCGTCAATAACGTAAGTTGTGACTTTGTCTAAAGATGAATAAGCTTCATTATCAGGTATTGAAAAATCTCCTTCTATGTTCAAGTCGCCTATTATGGTTTTATTTCCTAAAAATAAATTTGCCTCTATGGGTTCCAAATGAATATTGGTGTGTACCGTTTCAATCTCATCTGCTTCAACACTTCCTTCTAAATTAAAAAAAAAGTTAGTTTGCAATTTTGCACCGTAGTTACTTTCAGTAGATTTACCAAATTTAACGTTCTTCAGTGTTATAGGTTCGTTGATTCGCACGATGTTTCTCAAAAAATCGTTTAAATCGACATCATTGATCGTCTTCACCTCCAAATTTCCTTCTACTGTCAAACTTTGAATTTCTGTAGGTAAAGGCACTTTGATTCCTTCAGCGGCATTGAGTAAACTCACATTCAAATTTTTCATTTTAATCGGACCTTTCAAAATTTGTGGATCATACCATTTAAACATCGCTGTTTCGAAACCTACAATTATTTGCGTAAAACGATAATTTTGAAAAATAAAATGTTTTATTTCAACAATGACTTCAATTATTGCAAAAATGCGCACTTTCAAAAGGACTGCCCTTAAAACTTGTCAAGTTCAAATTTTCAATAAATACGGGACCAGTAAAAACTTTCTTTGACAAATCTACCTCATCCCAAGAGCTCGCGCAATCACTCACAAGCTTCTCGAGATCGTCTGCGCCTTCAACATCTTCAACTACAACGGTCTTCGCCGTGGCTTGCCCAACTTCAATCGATGAAGTTCGTAAATCGGGAGTTACAGCAACGACGGTGCAAACAGGAGTTTCTACCCTTAGGTAAGAAAAAATTTGACGTCAGGATGCTAGTTTGGCATGGAAAAAAAAGCTTTTCATACGTACTTTGGTAGTGGTAATTGAGAGAACACATCATCTGGCAGTATAATATCCTTCAACGCTATTTTTTCTCCAGTGACTTTGACCATTTGCGCATTCTTTCTCGTCAACCAATTTGGAAGATTTTCCACTGTGATATTCGACCAAAGCTGCAACGAATACGAATTCTCGTGAAGTTCAAATTTATTTTTTCAAACATGACTATCCAAAAATTTTGAATAGCTAACCGTGCGATTCTCCGAGAAATGCAAGTGCACCGGTACACCCTCATTCAACGGTATGACATTATCGACAATTTCTTTTAATGATTTGCCAGATTTCCTCGTGATATCCTTCACCATCAACAAATCTGTCACTTTCACATTACTGAGTGTGTAATTGCCAGTCAAATTATAATAATCCGGGAAAGAAACCATCGGTGCGATTTTCTTTATGCTTTTGCCGGTTATACCTCCACGTTGAACAACCAACTTGCTGAATGCAACTTTCTTGGCTGTGAGAGTACCAGTCATCGTTACTGGTTCGCCATCCAATGGAAGCAAGAGACCGCCATCGGTGAGATTTAGTTCTTTGGCGCGGATCGCTTTGGTTTTAAAATTTTGACGAGTAAAAGTAGAAGCGGCTTCAATGTTTGGAGCAATAATGGAGTCGACGCGTACCTCGTCAAATTTGTGAATACCTACAAGAGCATTATATAATTACGGTACTAATTCTATTTGATCATGGAAGCCGATCGATCGTCTTACCAGTAACGATTTGATCGCCTGAAGTTCGCAAAGCATTTTTGTACAAGTCCTCGAAAGATATTCCATTGATCAATCCTTCAACGTTTACGTCTTCCAACTTGATGCCCATTGACGGACAAGGAAATCCTTCTAGCGTATCAACGTGTACTTTTTCGAACTTCAAACTCAACGTTCCGTCGTCGATTCGCCGGAGTTTTGATGTTATATCGAACGGCAGTTCAGTCACCAAGTTGTTGATGTAACATTTGCCGAAGCATTTTACTCGAACTGCTTTCGCTCGTAGAGTCGATAACTTCGGATCTTTTAGCGTTCTCTTCTCTGTTAATACATCTTTCGCTGCTTGCAGACGCGAGACTAAATCGTAGTAGCTATCGTTCAATTGCTTCAATTTCTCTGTACTTATACCGTTTACCTACGATAAGGAAAAAACTCATTTGAACCGTCACTTCTCAATTGCGTATCACAAAAAATATCCAACTCACGCTATCAACTGTAACTTTGTGCAAATTGACATTTGACGCTTCGATAGGCCTTCGGTCGGTTATGATCTTGGGAATCGCTTTCGCCTTATCTTTCGCAGCCATACACCACTGTTTTAGATTCTTTAAATATTCACTTGACCCCTTTGCTTTCGACCAATTCAAACTATAAAGTAATCTTCTCAGCTTCAAATTAATGGTTTAGAAGCCAATGAAACAATATTAGCTCACCTCGTCAAAATCCAGCTGCCGTTGACTGTAATGATAATCAAATGCGCCTCACCTCTCAAAGTAATAGATTTCAAATTTTCAATTCCATCAAGTTCATAGTCCAATCGGACAAATCGCCAGCCATCGTATTGATATACATTTAGCAAATAATTTCTCCTCAAAAGTAAAACCATCGTCGTATTCCTCGCCACTGACACTACTTGATCGGCTGGAGCAATCTCTTGAAGAGGTACGTAAACACTATCCGATAACTTGTACAAGATGGTCCTCTGACTGCTTGATAAAACTAAGAAATAATCGTGTGAAATGCGCACAGTTGTAATATCGTTGAATGACTTTGGAATCGACTGGTAAGCGTCGAAATAATGCCCGTGCGGCATGTACTTCAATATCGTAGTTTTACTATGGCCCAGAATAACGAGATTCGTCGATTTGTCAGTCGCGAAGAATGCCGATGAATTGGCAACAATAGGCAAGAATTCGATGAGTCTGAATTTGTTTTCTAACCGAGTGTATACGTGGAATGCCGAAGCTGAGGATATACCTGTCAAAATTGAATTACGATTTATTAGTAACTGCCGGTACATTGCTTTCGACGTGTGGAACATATATTTATAACTTATAACATATAATTATTATTTCGTACTTAGAAATACGTGCATCTGATCCTGCCAAACTGCAAAATGTTTAACATTTGGAATATCTATGTATTCCACTTCTTGAATGGTGAATCGTCCATTTTGTTGGAAAAAGTGTAAAACGGTGATGCCTTCCGCATGTTTAACAATGAACCAAGTAGTGCCGGAAAATTTACAAACATGTAATTTTGACATATAAGGTACTGAATGATAAGCGATAGGAAAAGCTTGGATATCCTGAAGATAATCGTATTCAATTTAAATTTAAAGTGTCTTACTGTGATCTCATATGAACTTACGTTAATTTGGTAAACAAACAAATCGGTGGAAGTGATAAGAACTTGGTAAAATTGATTATGCTTTTTGAAGAAATGCAAGTCACTTATATCCGTTGCATTTAGCTTTAACACCTCTTCTAGATCACTAAATACTTCCACATCTACAAATACGATAAAATACTTTATTGATTGATATATCTTGTGAATTTACTTATCGTATGACGTCGTCGAACTTTTGTTGTAAAAAGTTTTTTGTTGCCGAATTTAAACAAAATCCCGCGCAAAAAATAATGCGCAGATGCATGCGCGCGCAAACCAATCTTAACCTTCATGGAAAGAGCTATAATTTTGCTTGTCAAAGCTTAATCGTAAAAAACAAAAATTTGTACCCTTTCACATTTCTGTAACGCCAGATTTGACTTGTAATACAAATTGCATCAGAAAATTTGCAGCTGTGAATCAAGTGTATCATTGGATATCGATCATTATATTTTGCTTGAGTCATAGCTGCTTGGAGAACGTTTTAAACTATCGTTATTGTTTTGCAAATTTAAAGATTAAGTAAACCTTGTATCAATTTATCTGTGAATTGTTAATTAATTTTATTACCTTATGCTCTGCATGCAAAGTGAAGTTATTGTTAGTGAACATGTCGATTACAGGAGATATAAAAGAAACTTTGGAGATACAAATAAACGAATTAGAAGCTTTGCAAGCAGTTTATCCAAAAGAAGTGTCAACAAGTGATCATGGGAATATTGCTGATATAAATGATTATATTGCTGGAAAGACTATTGATGTCCCTTTAAGATTAGAATACGAAATTGAAGTCCCAGTAGATGAAGTAAATAATCTTGAAACTTTTTTAAAATTATAATTATTATTTTCATTTTAAGATAAAAAATTATTTCCAGGTAGTTGTTGAGCTCCTCATAAACTTGCCGTTAGATTATCCTAATGTCAGTCCACAAGTATATTGCAGAAGCTCAGCTTTAGATCGAGAAGAGCAACTTAATTTCAACAAGAATTTGATATTATTTTGTGAATCTCAAACAAAGGGTGAACCTATTGTTTATTATTTAATTAATTGGATTCAAGACAATGCAAAACAATATTTCAAAAGAGCTGAGGAACATCGAAATAAGAAAATTGTTAGAAAAGTTTCTGAAGATAATTCAAATAAGAATATTTGTAATGAATTTGGAAGATACTGGATCTATAGTCATCATATTTATAGCTACATTAAAAGGAGAAATATTATAGATTTAGCAAAAGAAAGTTCCCTCACTGGGTTCAGTTTTATAGGCAAACCAGGAATAATTTGCTTAGAAGGTATGCTTGATGACTGTGAATACTTTTGGCAACAAATCAAAAGCTGGCATTGGCATCGAATTATCATAAAGTTTATAGAAAAAGATTTCGAACAAACTGATGACTTCAATAAGTACAGAAAATTTACTGACTTTCAAGAATTGAGTTTTGTAAACTGTGACAGACAGACTAATCATACAGTACCATTGAATTTTAAAAATGACACCAGTCAGTTGTTAAAGTTTTTGAGACAACATAATTCTGAGCATGCATTTAATCAAATTTTTGGCTTTGATACTAAATGTACTGAATAGTTGAGGAAATTTATATTATTTATGATATTTGTAATAAAACAACAAAGTTTGATATACATAACAAATAAGTTTTATAATAAAAATGTTTATACAAGTTACCTTTTTCGTTCATACTGTGCTTAAATAGTTCCTTTTTATGACGAGAGTTATACAACAGGTTTTTCAATATGCTATTTACAAAATTATCAATTTCTTGATCAATCAATGCTTTTGTTTCATTAGTTAGAACACTTGATTCTAAAATAAATATAGAGCTATTGATAATATTGAATTGAGTTGACAACAAAACTATTAATGAATAAGGACTTGCCATATTTTTTCATTAAATTATTAAAAAAAGTATCTGTAATTCTATCTACATCTTTTAAACTTTGACAATAAACTTGAAACAAGATGCACAGAAAAACAAAGAATAGCTTACAAGCCATGATTGTGCTTATATTCTTAACAATGTCACAGTAAAACTGAACTACCTTTAGGACAGTTAATTACTTACAGATATTTATATCTACATTGTATCTGAGATCTATGTTGACAATGGATAAATACACATATAAGTGTTTGTTTACATTCTTAATTTCAAAATGTTTATAGTCTTACTGTACTATTACACTTAAAATATTAAATACAGCATTAAGAAATATAATAATTAATTGAAAATCTATTTTCAATTAAACTTTCAATTAGCTTTTATATATATAAAATACTTTTTAACATAAATAACAACACTCTATCTTATAGTAGCATATCTTTGAAATTCATTTGTTAAAAAACGTCCTGGAACAAGTTGAGAATGTGGTCCTAAAACATCTTCAGCAGGACTATGCACTTTTATTTGTCTCATATGTGTATCTCGTCCATTCTGATGATTACTAATCACTGCAATTTGAATCATAAATGCTCTTATTGGCTTTTCACTTTCATCTTTTATCGGTATCACAACCCAGCCACTTGGTTCAGTCAGATCCATAACTTCAACTTCTTGTAAATCATTAAAATTTGTACCAGCTCTTACACTTATTCTAAAATAAGTATAAAAATTATTAATTTATACCTAATCACAAATAGACAGCTCATGTAAATAATACCTGCTTGGTGTATAACTTTCATCAAGCTTGTAATCTGTATATATGCATATATCTCGAATAGTTGTTTTACGACGAAACTGAATATTTACAAGATGAGGTAATTGTCCATCAGATTGCCAATAAGTTTCTGTAATATCATCTCTGAGTTGGTCAACTCCAAAACCTGGCTTGCAGCTTGAGAGACTCCAAATTGCATGGTTTCCTACTTCTCTCACGCGACCAGCAAATTCCTCTTGCACTGGATCGACAGCTATTTGGAAACATATTATCTTTAAAATATTTGTTATTTGTTAATGTTTAATGAAACATTAATTTTTTACCTGATACATTTGTTTTGCCGCTCATTTTACGGTTATGTTTTTCTGATCTCAGAAATAAGCTTAGTTTTCTACAGACCTAATTTTTTTCAACAATAAAATCTTTTCATGTTCACATTATTGAATGCACAAAGTGTCAACAACCGAACAACGAAAACATCACTCGTAAATTCAAAGGACTCGAGTCGCAACAATCGAAGAAGGCACAACACTTTGCGCGAACATCAGAGCAGTTCGTATCGTGTCACATCATATGTGTGCCGAGATTAAGCGAATTGAGAGAGGAGGAGAAAGGAAAAACCGGTGGTGTGTGCCAACTATACCATAGTCTAAGTGCCGTGTGCGAGCAACGAGATCTTGTATTTCGGAACGAGCGCCCTGTGCTCACTGGAAAATTATCCAAAATTACGCTTCACATGTTGCAGAATTTCGGGCTGGGAGGGCATTTTACTCGAAAAAAATTGTGAAGTTTGGCTGTTAAACTACAACAACAAGCAAGATGGGCAAGGCGAAGAAGGGCAAGCGTACAGGCAAGGACGACGACTTGTAAGTTTATTTTCAGTCTGACGTTCCGTCAAAGTTTTTGTTGATTCTATCGTTTAATTGACATTAACTTGATATAGAATTTTTATTATTTGTATATTTATGTTATGGTTTGTTGTTAAAAGGCGTAGAAAAACTTTATGACTTTTTGATTTCTAACGGGATTAAGCAGTCCATCTGCTTAGTTGAGGTTAGGTTTTACTTATGTAGTCCATGATGCAGTCAGTATAAAAAAAGAACATTGCCATACATTTTCTGAATAATGAAAAGTATTTTAGTTTATTACTTTTTACTCTACTTATTAGAGTACTATACTTATGTAAGAGATGTATTGTCTAATGGCCTCAGTTGCCCATACAGCTTATACTATATTATTTGTCTCCTAAAAGTAAATTCTTGAGATATATAATGAAATAATTTATTATTGATTGAAATATCTCTTAAATAAACTTGTCGCCTGTTAAAACAATTCATAATTAATTATTCCATACTAATTTTTAAAACGATTCGAAAAGTGTTAAAGTTAATGTAAAATTATTGAAATTTTTCAAAACTCTTAATTTCGCGATTTTCTGAAATAACCCATTACTTTTGTTTGTAAATTAAATACTTGAAATTTGCAATAAGATCATTTTCAGCCTAATTTAAACTATTTCTTACTACCTACAGTGACAGCGATGTTGAGGTGAATGATACCATCACAGATGAACCTGTCAAATCAAAAAAATCTAAAGAGAAAAAAAAGAAGGGAGATGATGTTGATGATTTGGCTGATGATCTCAAAGACCTGAAAGTTGATAAATCAAAAGCTTCTAAAAAAGAGAAAAAATCTAAAAAGAAAGGAGGAGACTCAGATAATGATGTACCTGTATCAAAAGGAAATATTGATTCTGAATCTGATTCTGAAGATGATGCCCCTAAGGGAAAGCTGAAAAATCGAAAGAATCAACCTCCAAAGAAAGGGTTTACAGCTGTATCTATTGAATGTGATAATGATGAGTCTGACACTGAAAAGTTAAAGACAAAAGCTAAAGGAAAGAAAGGCAAAAAAATTGATTCTGATGATGAAGATGAAGTAAAAATATCTAAAAATAAGAATAAGAAAAAAGATAAGAAAAATATAGAATCAGGTGATGAAGATTCAGAGAATGATACTCGTAAACCAAAAGGAAAAGGAAAGAAAGGAAAGAAAGCCATTGATTCTGAAGCATCTGATGATGAGGAAGTCAAAGTTAAAGCTAAAAATAAATCTAATGCTAAAAAGAACAAAAAAAGGGAATCTGATGATGAGTCTGAAGACGAAATATCTAAACCAAAAGGTAAATTGAAAGATAAAAAAGGAAAAAAAGTTTCAGAATCAGATGATGATGAAATTAAAGCTCCAACTAAGTCAGTTAAAGCTGCAACCCTCAAAGGTAACTTTCTTCAAATATATATATTTTTTAATGTCAATTTCATAAGAAAATCATGTATAATAAATATTTATTGTAGCTCCAAAAGCAAGTTTTGCTTTATTAAATATGGATGATAATGATGATGACCAGGATGATGAAGCTGCTTCACCACCTTCATCAGAGGATGAATCAAAGACTCAAAGTGCTGATCGTAGTAAATCTGTCAAGCAACCTAAATCTCAAGAATCTCAAAAAGAATCTAAAAAGAGTAAAAAATGTATGGATAATTTTGGCTTATCTTATTAAAATTAGTGATATTTAAATACATGAATTAGTAGCAACTTGTTTGTAATTTTTATTTTCTAGCTAAAAAGAAAAGGCAAGACAGTGATGAAGACATTGATAAAGTACTAGCTGAGTTAGAAATGGAATATTCAGGGCAAAAAAAAACAGAGACAAAGGAAAAGCTTGCTATGCAATCACCAACAGAAGAGGAGACTACTAAAAAAGAGAAAAAGGCAAAAGATGTAGAGCCGGAGCTACCTGATGCTGCAGGAGATGGAGAAGAAGGTGGAACTGTTAAAACAGCAGCTCAAAAGAAAAAAGAGAAAAAAGAAAGAGAAAAGCAAAAAAAAACTTGCCCAAAAGAAAGCTGTTAGTTTATGATTAACAAATTTTGTTTGAAAATTACTTTAGTAGTTATTCACGATGATATCAAAATTATAGGAAGCTATGAAAAAGACTGATGCTCCCAAAGAATCTACTGCTGCAACTACTACTGTTACTGCTGCTGCTGCTGCTGTTGCTGCTGTTGCTGCTGAGAAGCCTCCTGAAAAATTAGAAGAGGATAAAAAAGAGGCTAGCGATGCAGAAGGAGTAGCTGATGATGGGAAGAAGAAAAAGAAAAAAGGTGCTAAAGAAGAAGTTCCTGTAAAAGAAAAAAGTAATTTCAATTTTAAATAATTTTCTTGATTACTTTTAATTTTATTTGATGAGTCATAATCATGTTATCTAAAACCGAAATTTTTTTTCACATTTTATTGATTTGAATCTCGGTAGCTATGTAATACATTAAAAAAAACAGATTCTTAAATTAATAGATTATTAGTAGATTATAGATTATTTAATGTTTAGTAAAAGAATTAAATAATCTATAACATTTAATTACTACTTCTTGACTGTTCAACTTAAAGCTCTAACAAAGTAAATAGGTTGTCATTTTCAATACTATTCAATACTGATTTATTAATATTAATTTTAATCTTCTCGTTCACAGCCAAAGGGCCTGGAAAGAAAATGATTGCTGCTATGCAAGAAGCTTTGAAGAAAGCGAAAGAAGAGGAAGAAAGAATAAAACGTGAGGCAGAAGAAAAATTGCGACAAGAAGAAGAGCTTGAGAAGCTTCGTTTAGAGAAACTCCAAAAAGAGTATGAAAAGAAAGAAAAGAAAAAGTTAAAAGAGAAACAACGGAAAGAAAAACTAAAGGCCGAAGGAAAATATTTGACAGCAAAGCAAAAACAGGATAAAGCCAGAGCACAAGCTATGCTTGAAGCTTTAAAAGCTAAAGGTTTGGATTTGCCGGAAGCCGGACAAAAAGCGCCAAGACCTGGTAATTTATTGCTTTTTCAAACGCTTGTGTGTGTATTGTCATTGTAAATTTTATTCTAATTACGTAACATACTGTCTTAATTCCCTTATAGTTTTTTTAAATGATAAATTTTGTAATAATGGAAACGTTTGCTGAATATAATTAAAATTAAGTGAATTTCCATCTGTCACTATTTCCCTTCTTTCCATTACAAAATTTATCATTTATTCTAATTACTTTTTTACTTTCTCAGGAACAAGAGTAAGACCTGGTAAATTGAAACAGCAAACAAGTACAGAAGCCAAGGAAGAAGCTAAAAAGCCAGAAGAGGAAACCAAGACCGAGCAGGTACAGGTTGAAATCGTTGATAAACAAGAAAAAACCCGAGGTCAAGAAAGAAGATGATGAAGACTCCGTAAAGGACGCTTGGGATGCTGAAACTAGTGAAGAAGAAGCTGAAGAAGGTAGAATTAGTTATTATCCATTATAGTAATATAAATTTTGTCTATGTGTTTTAACTATAATAATATATACATAGATAAATCCGAGGAGACTCAAAAGGAATCAACTAGTGAAAATGCCAAAAAAGATTCCAAAGCAACTGAGAAAGAGTCGACTCCTGAGAACGAAGAGGAATCATCAGAAGAGTCTGAATCGGAAAGCGAAAGTTTGGAATCTGAATCGGAAGAAGATAGCGATGAAGATAGCGAAGGCGATGACAAGAAAACCGATGCTGAGCGTAGGAAAGATAAAGTACTTCTAAGAATCCAAAATCGTAGAGCAGAAGCTGAGAAGAAACGAACCACAGATGATTTACGTGCTGCTGTAGTTTGTGTATTAGGTCACGTCGATACTGGCAAAACGAAGATTCTTGACAAGTTGAGACGGACGAACGTGCAAGATGGTGAAGCTGGTGGTATCACACAATCAATCGGTGCAACGAACGTTCCCATCGAAGCTATTCAAGAATCGATGAAACTTGTCAAAGGCGTAAGTAAAAGACTTTATTCAACTTGAATATTTAAACATTAACGGAATTTTGCTGATTATGCCTAATACAGTTCGCAGAAAAGGTTCTCAAATTACCTGGATTGCTGATCATCGATACACCTGGTCACGAGTCGTTTAGTAATCTCAGAAATAGAGGATCGTCCCTCTGTGATATAGCTATTTTGGTAGTAGATATAATGCATGGCCTAGAGCCTCAAACTATTGAAAGTATCGAATTATTAAAAAAAAAGAAATGTCCATTTGTAGTTGCTCTCAACAAAATTGATAGGTAAATTTAATTAAACCAGATATTTTTAATTCAAATTTTTTAAGTCTTGCTGGAATGTTTTTACTTTTCTTATATTAACTTTTTAGATTGTTCGATTGGGAATCAATGGGGCGTAAAGATGTCCGTGATATTATCGCAGCACAGGGACAAATGACTCAACAAGAGTTTGATAAGCGTTCAAAGGAAGTCATTCTTCAATTTGCTGAGAAAGTTGGTCTAAATGCCGCCCTATTCTATCAAAATCCTGATCCTCGCTCTTATGTTTCTTTAGTTCCAACAAGCGCCATCACAGG